ATGTATTGTACTCCAGCATGAAAAGATAATATGAGTACTATAATATGTATTTACAGTACATCCTGATTTTATACAGAAGTAATTTGTTCCTTCAAACAAGTATGTTTAATTAGGGTGTATGGCTGACAATAAGTATATGTTCCTGAGGATATATGTTTACTTTCAAAGAAGAGATGTGTACAAAACGAAAGATAAAAATATCAAAGCATTGTTATGATCATAAACTATTCATAAAGCATATCATGACTCTTTGTTAAGTATATTTGATTCTCCCACATCTGATACATGGTGTTGATTTAGAAACTGAGTGTGTGTGTGTCTAACACTAATTTACACAGCCACCAGTACGTACCGGAAAGGTTTATATTTAGGTCAGCATAGATATGTATACCCCCCTTACAGCAGGTGGTTTTGGAATCTTACCATCTGCACTAGTACTGCTCCCTGTTGCAGTTCCCCTTCACACTCTCAAAGAAAAGGTCATGTTTCATCCTGGGATACAATGTTAAGTTATCTGCTCAACATTAGATTTTATCATGTGCTCATATAATTACTTTATTACATCAGAAGGATTTGTTAGATGTACTGTCAGTCACATTTTTTTTTTTACAAAACTGCAAACATTGGGAGCTTGACCTGATGTTTCCCTGCATGATCATGGTCTGCTTATAAAGTAAACCTGCTACTGCATCACTGGCAGGTTTTCAACAATTTATTTTTGAGGCCAACAAAATTATTGGTTGTTCTGATGAAACTTGAAAGTTTGAGACTGGAATATTTTAGGATATATCCACGCTCATACAAATGACCGGTGTAATATATATAGTGTGGTACTATATATATATAACTGTTCACTCTTATTACAATTAGAGGTAATTTGATATTAATTACAATCACATGTACACAGCATGGGACCAGTGACCAATGTTGTAATTATCCCATCACACCTCCCAGTCAGTGGCACATATCAGACATGTCTAACTCACTAGTGTACTGGAGGGGGATGCTAATCATGTATAGACTACACAGGAAAGGGGTGTCGGAGGGACCGTCTCAAAACCGAACTTTACTGAACCAGATGAAAATTGAGGTCTATTGATAAGCTATGTTTGTGCAGAGTTGAAACAACTGTACTGTTTTTAATGTATTTTGATAGGCTAAAAGTTGGAAATTATACATAGTAAACCAAACATAAAAGAAAACTGAATTACATTGGTTGACCATAGGGACATATTTAAGACTTACGTATCATTGACCGATTTATGTTATCATTAAAACATTAATTAATACAAAATGAATGCATTGCATTAAAATTACATGCCTTTTTAAGGTCATTAGGACTAAAAAAAAACCTACATTTTAATGCCTAATTAGAACCATGTTTAAGTAAAGGGGGTGTATTTTGAAAAGCCCACCTCAACGATACCAAAGTGTTGTCTATACATATATATCTTAATATCTAATTATAACACACACAAATGGAATTTTTGATACTGCAGTACAATTAGGTACAATGTTCAATACATAGTTAATTTTCTTCAGCATGGTTTCAATAAGCCACCAAATATATATACCATGGTGAACTGAAGTTTTCACTAGAGAATAATTAAAACTGATTTCAAGGTACACATTTTTTTTATATCATACCATGATACATGTATATTGCACATACATACATGTATAAAATAATATGAATCATAATAATATCTAAGTACAAAGAAAGAGGATCATAATTATCACAACAGTCTCTATCTTCACCAATTGTGTGTTTTTAAGTTTATTTGGCCGACTAGTATAGTTTCGCCTCGAATGGTGATGCTTCATCAGGACAAGTTTACAATGTTTGAGACACCTAAAAATGCTCAGGGAGCTGCTCTCATATTTAGACACCTAAACAGGGGTCGACACTAACGGTAGACTGGAGGACCGGGTCCACCAAAATCTTGGACGGTCCACTTAATCTCCAAAGCTGGTAGACCGCCGGTCCGCCACATATTACGTGATTAGTGTATATATATTTGAGAATATTGTTCAGAAATATACTAATAAAGACTTTATTTACTTCGCCAGCGAGCTGTAAAATCCCCTCTGGTTAAAAAATGTATCATATTTTCGTGTTGTTAACCCGCGAAAAGTTGTCGTTATCATTCTTGGACGAGTGAAGTGCGTGAATCCGCTTGCGGTAAGTCGGAATCTTTTCAGCGTTTGAGTCGCTTGTGGTATAGTTTGCCGCTATTATAAGCACTAAAATGTCTATAACGTCACGATCACGGTGGTCAACCGGGAAATGAAGGTAAACTTAGCCTCACAATTTCGTGTTACGTTTTGATTTCTATCGTATTCTAGCGTATATCGTTTAGGTGATCGTGTCCGTCGATTAACTTAGTATTTGTACTAGACTAGTACCGTATCGCCTGTGTCGCGATTTTTAAATGGCTTGGCATACAACCACTGGCAAAAAAAGTTAAAAACTTTAACAGAACAAAAACAACACGAGGTTTGTATGGGCAACAAAAAGGATGATATCCTTTCAGGAGTCATGGAAAAATCTTTTACATGGCTCAATAATGATACTGACACAAACTTAATGAAATGTGGGGTATGGTGCACTCAAAAGACGATTCCGAAATGTCCAGGAAGGATTGTATCGAGTTGCAACAAAATATGTAAAGACTACTGTTGGGGCAAATTTGTTTGACATTCTGACTGTATATTGAGATAAAGATCATATTAAAAAGGTATAATACTATACTTAGGTATAATACTATAAAAAAAGTTTATTATTTTATCCTTATTTTTTCATATGATCTTTATCTCAATTTACAGTCAGAATTTCAAACACCTTTGGATGGGAGCTATGTAAAAAAAATAAACAAGGAGAAAATTGTTTCATGTTTCTGTGTCATTTACTAAAACTTGGTCATAAATGGAAAAAATAAAAAATAAGGAAAAAAAACAAGTATTTTACAGAAAATTAAAAAACCTTCATTATTTGTTTAAAACCCTGAGATACCAGGATTTTGCATCTAGCTTTAAAAATTTGGGGGGAGGACCCCATACCCCCCTCTTATTCAGGAAGGGGGGGTACCCCCTCCCAAACCCACCCCTCGCTACGCTCGTCGACCGGGGCGCAAAGCGCCCCAGATCTGAGAATATTATTCAGGTCCAAGAGAGCAGGTGGACCTGCGGTCCACCACCTATTAAAAGTTAGTGTCAACCCCTGCTAAAGTTTCCTCATCTATCTATCTATAGGGCATGTTTATAGTTGCATACCATGATTGATATACTTTAATATGCATAGTAATGTGCAAACATTCTACAACTTAAAACTTCAGAAATTCAACTACAACCTACAAATAGAGAATTAAATTTGTTGCATGTGGTGCCCAATATTTATCTATTAGTCATTGGTTATACAGGTATGAATTTATTTTAATCAATGGATATTTCCCATGAATATTTTGCCAAACTGTAGCGCTCCTGATCATGATCAGCATATCTTTACAGATCTCTCATCTTATTGACAGTAAACTCTATAAGCATGGCTGCCCCATTTTTCAACCCAAATGGGGATTTAAATGTGAAGAGGCCATGCTCATGTTACAAACATATAATCAATATTTAAACCATGACAGATTTATATAGTGTAACCCCCTCGGGGATACCAAAGGGTGAGGGATACAACAGTGTGGAAAGGACTCCATCAATATCCAGAAGACTTGATCATATACAGTACATTTGTAAATATTTAAAAACAAAATGGACTATTGTTATCATCTATTAGAATGTAATATGTAGCCGTACTGTCACCTATTAAACTTGTCAGGAAATGAATTTGATACACTTCCTGTCATTACACAATACGACTCCAAATATCACAAGTGGTCAACTGTTCTGAGTTAAATATTATGTGTAGTTATGTTCATAATAGGAAGGGGGTTATTAAATGATTAACACATGTACACACTTTATATATTTCTAGAAAATTAAGTTCCAGTTTAACAATTCTGAATCTTTGACAGATCTTTTTATCATTCAACACATGTACATGAACACTCAATCAGTATGTAGATTAAATCCTTATAGAGTCTATATACTGGGTCCAGATCAGCATAAACCTAAATCAAATGCTATAGTTTGAAATTGATATCGACACCATATACAGTGAATTCATAAGATACCCACCATTATTCTTCAAACCCAGTTCTATTATAATTCTAAATGGTGTGTATAAATTCAAACATAAATACCTGTCAGCATCAAACTGTTAATGCATTTGCCAATGGCAATGCTGTAACAGCAACTTGTACATCACTGTACATTATTTATACTAGTTTTTGTCGTCTGACATTTAATAATCTGGAATCAGAGTGACGAGCAGCACTAGTGGGGCACTCATCCTTAATGAGTGCAAAATACATTATGTTTGAATTCTTAAAAGGAATACTTATGAAACCAATTAAATTACATATTGAAATTTTAATATTCTTATAATTGCATTGTTAAAAGAAGCAATGCAATCTCTTTGGAAAGTGAGATGTAACATTTTTATCATGTTACTGTATTCATAATTCATATTCCAGTAAATTTACAGATATAATTTAAAAGGCTAGAAATGCTATCAGGTTAAGCATTAAATCTTTATGTAAATGTCATTAAATGTAAATATCACTATATTTACGACGTGAGAACGCCTATCTGTATAGTTTTGAGACGACCCACCACTTAGCATCACTGACGTAAATTCAGCATCCTGCGTGTGCAGTGTGTATATTGTACCATTGTGTACATACCAGTGGCAAACTTTCCATTACTCGTCAGACAAGCAAATATGTTGATCCTTGTTTATATCAGCCAAATAAACTAACATAAACCAGTCGAATAGATGAACATTATGTAAACATCTTTTTGTGAATATGATGTGATTTGAAAAAAGTTTATCAAAACAGCTGCAAATTTCGACAGAAGACCGGAAACTTTCAATCATTTTGTCACTTTACCTTCCTTCCAGATCCATTGGCAGCGTCGGGTCGTACCCGTTCGTCGTGTCCATTATTGAAGGAGTTTTAGAATCTTCATCATTTAAGAATAACTAGTTTACATCCTATCTTGATCACGTTGTAAACATTTCCATATGAGCGCTAAAATCAAAACTGTTTATAATACGATGGAGCATGCGCAACGTTATCAGGGACTTCTCTATTTCTTCATTACATGAAGGATCCATCTCAAGAGGTTCCGATAAGAAACTTCCAGACGATTTAAGGGAGGGAACTCGTTGAAAATATTTGAAAACTCATGAAATAATTATAGTTTTTTTTATTTGGATTGAAAGCGTTTCATCACAGGGAATGGTACGATGAAGGAATAATCGTAATGCGATTCACAAATTTCAAAAATTCAAACAGATTTATGATATCAATACAAACTTTTAAGATACCAGGGTCTAATTACTGCCATTAGAGAGTATATTATACAACAAGATAGGTCAAATGTAGAGGCTAACTATCCATTTATACCAATTAATACAGAAATGTTTTTGAAAAATAAAAAAGAGATAAGAAATTTTTATAGCTTCTTTTGCAAAAACAAATGGGATGATATATTTCAATTTGATGATGAAATTTGGAAAAAAATATAGAAAATGACATTTAAAATTACGAAAAAAATACCCAAATTACAGTGGTTTTAGTACAGAATTAATCAGCATATTTTGACAATCAATGCATATTTATTTAAGGCAGGAATAGTAGATAGCCCTTACTGTGAACTGTGTAACATAGAAATAGAGACAATAGGGCATTTATTACGGGAATGTGACAAAGTACAAAATATTTTACAAAATTTTCAGTTCCTATCAGATGCATTATTTATTCCATTTAATTTTAATAAACAAACATTTCTATTTGGTTTTAATAACTATAATGGACTTAATAAAGGTGACAATAGTATTATTTAAATAATAAAACAGTAAATATACAAGGCAAGATGTCTTAAAGTGCCTTTTATTATACAAGTAATTAAAAGTTCAATTAAAGAACATTACAATATTCAAACATATATTGCAAAGAGTAAAGACAAAAAATATCTCATTAACTTCCAGAATGAGTGGAGAAAATGGAAAAGGCTTATTGATATTTCCTAAACCTACAATTTGCCGATTACTGGTATATGTTTGATCTTATTTACATCTATTTGGGGAAAAAAGAGACAAAATTGAAACATATTATCTTAATTACTTAGCTACTGACACCTATATTATTACCAGACTTCTGTCCTTTACATTGGTTTGTTTAATACTGGTACTTCTCCTCCTGTCTGTCTGTCTGTCTGTCTGTCTGTCAGTCATGTCTGTCTGTCTGTCTGTCTGTCTGTGTGTATGAAAGTGAAATTCATTATGTAATGAAATGTATATGTTATTGTAATGTGAAAAATACTTTGAAATAAAAAAAAAGTAAAAAAACATTTAAAATGCGTTTCATTGGCAAAGTGTACCAAACGAACTTGCTAAAAAAAAAATCTACACATAAAATAAAAATATGCAAAAGATCATGGAGATCACATAAATTCGCTGACAGCATATTAATTGTAATTTTAAAGGTGGCTGATTACTAGGGCCCGTATGAATCTTACTCAAGTTAGTTTAATTTTCCAGTTGTAAATAAACAAATGTTGAATTTCAAGATAAGAAGCTCAGGAGCCTATCAGCTCACTTGCTCTTTACTTCACTTATTTGCTGTATACCAAATGAGGTTAAAATACCTTTAGATTTCTTGACCTAAGGTTCCTTTATACCACCCTATGCCCCAGTGATGACCAAAACTAACTTTTGTAAAAAAAAAAAATCCCTTTGTTTATAAGATCCTTAAAACAACAAAAAAAAAAAAATTGAACATACTGAAGGAGTAAGATTTAAAAGATTTACCCTTATTTCCCCTATTGGACCCTGCCTTCTGCCTCCAGAAGGGACAACACATTTTGTTTATAAAAAGTTGAGTCCCACTTTGATTAGGGATGCTCCATATCAAATTAAGTCAAAATCCATTGAGCTGTTCTTAACAAGTGATCTTTTACCTGGAAAATGAAAAGTTGATGACTATGGAAAACAGCTATCCATCATGGCATAAACTCACTTGCCCTTTGGCAGGTTAGCTAAAAAAAGTCAATGCTGAGAACTTCTTTACCATTCTGGTTATTTTCTAAATAATGACAAAACCATGGTAATGTAACATGGTTTGAATAGTTTTATTGTTACTCTCTATATCTATTTTACCTATGACAGTTTTTACAGAACATGTATCTACTAAAGCTCACACCTCATCTAGTTATAGCTCTCATGGCAGACACTATATAAGCATCACTTATTTTCCGAACGAGATATTGACTTGAGCAAGTCTACATGGTCTTGTAAGAATATATTCATATAGACTAAAAGTCACTCGTCTACCTACTCTCATGGTTGCATGGAAAATAATACACGATATCAATTAAATTTTGATTTTTTATGAGCCAATAAAATAGTAAAACAACAGTGAAACATAAAAATGTAAAATGATGACTGCAAACAATATTAAAATTGGATTGTATACTTGGTAAAAGTGTCAAGCAATTGGTCAGTATCTTGTTTCATGTGCACTCATATTTCTAATAAGAGATAAAATTGCATTGTACATACAGAAACACTATCATTGTAAGCACTATACCTGCTCAGTGCAAAAAATACTAAGACTATTACAACACTAAAATGGGGGGAAAAAGGCGTTCAACACTAAAACATGTATTTCTACTGTATAAAAATGAAGCAGAGATAGCACTTGTGTCTACGAGCTTCGATAAAAAGGCACTTTACAAAGTGAACTTCTGTATTTGCCATGCACTGTAAAAGGTTTCATGGCCGGGTAATCACAAAACATCTTATTCTAAGAACATTCTAAGTTCACAAAAACAGTATCCTAACAAGTCTTAAATGGTCAATTATTTATGTTACAAAATCACAGCTGGACATGAAACAAAGGATGAATTGCAGAAAGTGTAATTGTAGAATATTGGTACAATCTAAGAATATTTGATTTAAGAATTTCTTAGACTTACAAAGTTCATCTGTGATATTGGGGCCAGGACTGATGCACAAAAACGTATGGTAAGTAGCATGAGGGGCATTAGTTACAAATCCTTTTTTTAAAGATATAGAAAAAAATATCTGTAATTACAGTCCGTAAGGTTTATCTTCTAACACCTGTTAAAAGATTTTAAAACATTTCACCCCTGTGACCTTGAAAGTCGAGTAAGGTCATTATTTTGAACACATTTTATAGCCCTTCATCTCAGGATACAATTTGCAAAACATCACCACCCTATCCTTTTGTTTATTGAAATTGAAATATTAAATATTTATACATATCTGACCAAATGTAACCTTGAAATTAGGTCAAGGTTATTCATATGAAAAAGCTTAATAGCCCTTCATCCAAGCATGCTACTGACCAGATATCAACATTCTAGGCCTTATATTTATTCAAAAGAAGATTTTAAACATATTTGACCCCTGTGACCTTGAAATATAATTCAAGGTAATTAATTTGAACAAACTTGGTAGCCATTCATCCCAGCATGCTGCTGACCAAATATCACCATACTGGTCCTTTTGGTTATTCAGAAGAATGAAGTTGTTTATAGTAAAATATTGATACCGGACGATGCACCTTCGGGCCAGTTGAGCTAATAAAACCATTATGTACCTTCTATTGGAGTCCAATTAATTGTTAGTGATTGAGGAAAAGATCCTGCATTTTTTGTACACATGCAGAAATTCTTAAGTTAAATTTTGACTTAAGTATCTCAGTCCCAATGCACTGCCATTTTTCCTATACACAGTAATCTCCCCTTCACTTCCGTTTGGATATAAATGGGATGGTTAATATTGCTTTTTATAAAAACCAGGAAAGTGGACCAAGTGACTTCAGAGCAATATATTAAAAGGCACTGGGATATTATCTTTATATTTCAACAATGCAAAACAATTTTGAGCAAACTTTCTAAGTAATAGTCTTCAAAACAATTACAGAGTAGAAAATATAAATACATGTATATACAAAAATGAAGTTTGATTATCACAACAATGATTTTGTTTGTATAAAAATACAGCAAATCTCAAATATATAGATAAAAATATGTATGGGCAGAGAAGTAATAACGACAGTGCAGACAAATAGTGTTGTCTAATTACAGGGCAATGTATATATATACATCATATGATTAAAAGACAATAAATATGAAATAAAATTTCATAAGTCATTTCACATCACACAGCCGTTTCATATGAAAATACACAAAATTTATAAAATACACCAATAAATTTACAAAACACATACAGAGGTACAAAACAATAAATTAATTCTTTAATTTTATCCATTTTGAGCATGAGTATACCTCAGTACAATGATATTTGTTATGAAAACATGGTTTTGTAATAAATTAATAGAAATAATTTCAAAATGTTTAAATTCCCTTAATTTATTCATATGAATATGGTGGAAATAATAATATATTGTAAATTTAATATGAATGTGCATCATACAAAAAGTGGTGAGACTCTCTACCTTAAAATGGTAGCCTACCTATGTATATAACTAGTTTTTACATTTCAAGCACAACAGAAAGTATTTAATCTGTTTGTGAAAACAAAATCTTTTCCATTGCTTTTCTTCTCATCAGAAATGATTTTAAGAAAATAACAATCAAAAGTACAGATAAGGGAAGGTCACATTGCATTACTTATCATGCAGAACAAACATAGATAAAAAATCTAAGTCAATCACAACTTTTGTAGAAATAGAACTATACAAGGATGAAAGCATATATATTAGTTGAGCACTTCTGAACAAGATCAATGTATCAAATTAACAAGGAGTTGTCTCCCTTTGATTGCTAACCATAGCCAAGAGAGAAAACTTAATGCTTGTTCAATAATGAATCCATAATATCCAGAATTAATTAGCAAATTGTTGTCATTAAAATATATTGCAAGTTATAAAAAATATTTTTTTATCTGTAAACTTGAATAAGATAAATAGAAGGTATTTCACCTTTATTTGCACTTAGGATGAATGTCTTAATAACTTTATACCTGATTGGCGGTATAGATGGACTACGCCAGTTCAAAAAATGATAATTAACAGTTGTCATCAGGTGGTATAATAGGAGACATACATTGGACCATTTCACTGATGTTAAGTTTGAAATAACTCAATTTCACAAGAACTCTAACTAATGTGTTTTGATCAAACATAGAATTTACACCAATTAACCTGCAATAAATGGACATATCTCATTCTGTATGAAAATATACGGTAACACACTACAGTAAGTACCATTTCCCCTTACTATACATGTTTTCACAAATTCATGACAACAAATGTATTATATACAAAATTATGTAACGTTTTAGAAAATATATTACAAAATAGTTCATACTTTAACCAGTAGAAATGTATTTCAAATGGCTATTATCACAAATGAGTATTAACTGATTGGAAAGTATTCGAGGTTGTATTCCTCATTTAGATAAACTATCATGTACATTATGTCATTGCAAAAAGAAAAATACTTTTCCTTTTTTAAAAGATTCACTGTTTAGATTGAAAGGCATTAACTCATTCACCCATGAACTTTCATAATACACTATTCCAACCTTTGAATTGGAAGAGTTCAAATGTGTCTTCAGGGGTGAATGAGTTAAGAAACAACATCAAGATATGTTTTAAAAAAATACAATAATAATATGATATATAGTAAAATAAAATTGCAAACACATTTTATGTCATGCTGAATATTATTGTAGACATTGCTTTGTTCTGTAAACTTGTTCACTGCCGACGATTATGAGTTGTGTGTCTGTGTTAGCTAAAACAGGGACAAAGCTGCACTGACTTATCGTTGATATACAAAGGTCATGATCAAGGTCAAATGATGAACCACAGACCAAAAAAAACTCCCTTATTGCCAACTTAATATAATATAGTTATGAAAAAAATGATTTTTGAAAAGAAACAAACCTGCTAGACTCAAAGGTGACTTTGGCCCTTATACTCAAAAGGTCAAGGTCACACTAAAAGGTCATGTGATAACACAACTTTTATTCACAGATACAATATAGATATCTACTTCCTGAATAATGTTAAGTTAGTACATGTATTGTGTACTAGGTTATCAAAAACAATAATTTGTTTTAAATCTGTTAAAATATATAAAGACTAGAGTCTGGATTCCTGTCTAAGAAAATACACATAAACTATATGTGTATAAATGATAAAAAAATGTACTAAAAAGTTCAATGCATAAAAAATCTGAGAAATACTTTATACATAAAGTCAAAATGGATTTCATCTCATAACAGAACTTTGGATAACCAGAATCATTTTGTTCTGTCGGAGATAAATTTCACAAATCTATCTGCGTAGACATCTGGAGGAACCGTAGAGTGATCAGTAGTTAGATTTTTCACTGTTTTCAGTACTCCAGCCACTCGCTGCCAACACTGGTACTGTGTGAAAAAGTCGATAATTCCCAAGTAATATCTATAATCCTCGCCATCAATTACGTGTAGCGGGTTCGGACAGTTGGGTAAAAGCCGTAGATTAGACGGTAGGCACTTTTCTGACTCCTTTGATTGCTGTAGGAGATTTTTAAGGCTGCATGTTCCATCGTTGATTCCAGTCTGTTTGATTGTATTGTCATTCTCTGATGACAATTTTGTCTCTGTAAACTTCCCTGGTGTGTTTGTTGAAGGAGCCTGTGTCTCTGAAATTATTGACTTCATTTCTATCTCCCAGGAGGCAGCTCCCACTTGTTTTACAGTACAAACATCGTTCATCGGACTCACAGAATTCCGAGATGCGTGTGGCATGGACCTGTCAATCAAGTAAAGTTTTCATTATTATATTTTGTACATGATATCATGATATCCTATTGCGCTTACCAGTACTACTACATAAGTAGCATATAATGTTTAAAATAATGAATTGTGTGTTTCTGGGGGTTTTTTGACAGCCAAAACTAAAGATTTTATTATCTTTTAACTTATTTATTTAATGTGAAAAGTAATTAAAAATAATCCTTATGATTGTTATAATGACATCATAATCATTGTAATGAAAAATCAAATGGATTAACGCAACTTCACTTTTAATCACTTTTGACAATAATTTCTATTTTTCCAGTACATGTGAAAAAATCCTCAAGATCCTTAATTTAATTATCAACGTTTTACTTTATACACGAACAATGTACATATTACATGTGTCGCAATGTTTCTAAACCGACCAGTCCCTTTGTCAAGCTATGACTGAGTGAGCCATTTGTATTGTTTACTTGTACAATGATGTGGTGATATTGTATATTTTTTATGTCACTCAACCTGGGACGTTTCCTATCGATAGAGAGCGTATACTAGAAAGAAAACAAAAGGTCGTCGTGGAGAAAAGTTGGAATGGAACCACGTAATAAGTGGCATACCACAAGGATCAGGACCACCTCTATTTGTAATTTATATAAATGACATGCATGATGTAACAAGTCCCAGAACGAATACATTCCTTTCTGCGGATGATACAAAAGCTTTTAGGGCAATTAATGATGAACAAGATTGTAAGATTTTACAACAGGATATACTTTCTATCCAAAAGTGGTCGAGGCTTGGCATCTTCGTTTTCATCCAGACAAACGTAAAGTGATGTGCGTGTGACACTCCAAAATATTAATCAAAGGAAGTACACACTTCAGGAAAATGCAGAAGCTTTGGAACTTTGATAAACATATATCTGAAAAAGTAAATAAAGCTAATTCCGTTATGGGAGTTCTACGAAGAACAACGGAATATATGAACTTAGAGAGTATAAGTCCTTTAGGCCAGGTACCTGCTTCGTTGCTCGACATGGAACATTTTCTATTGTTTCAATGTGTTTTTCGAGATGAGGAAAAATTTAAACTTGAACGTGTTTTGTAAATTTTAAAGTCGTGTCCACATGTAGATGAACTTTCCCTAATATTAAATATGACTGATACTTCATGGTCATATTTTCAGGACAATATTTTGTAAACTATATCATGTCCCCACATGATCTTCTATATGCTAGTGTTGGTAGTTTTAGTTTTCTAGAACTGTTGATTTATGGAACAATCTACTATCAAATGTTGTGAATTCAAGCACAGTGAAACAATTTGAATATATATTAGATGAACAGTTGTTTCAAAGAAAAAATGGAAATCAAAATGTCTCAACTTTTGAAAAATGTTTTTATTTACTTGTTTTTTATTTCAGAGCTGACTGTCAAAGGATTGTAAAATCCTAATTTTGTCAGAATAAATCTATGTATCTATATATACACACTGTTTGGATAAGTTACTGGTAGGGTGTAGATAGCCCCCTCTCTGGTTATGTCATTATCGGGTCATACAGAAAGGAATACCTGTATCACATGACACACAGCCAGATCTTACACTGCTAACGTACCAATTTTAACCAGGTAGACACTTAATATCAGGATCTTCTCAAACCTATTGACATTCAAAATTCTATATCTAGGTTAGTAAGTCATCTGTTTGGGTTGGTTTGATTTATTTGTGTCTTACATCCGATAAACAAACAGCTGTGGTAATTTAAGGACATTCCAGGTTTTGGTGACGAAGGACAACTGGAGTACCTGAGCTTAAAAAACCCACTGACCTGTCGACAGTACCTAACGGCTGCCCTAGGAAGGCCTCAAACATGAGAGCCATTGAAGGAGGGCTACTGATCATAGACGGTCAGACGCCTTAATCACTCGGCCACCATGGCCCCTATGAGGTCATTCAAAATGACCAATACACAGCAATATATGTAAAAATAAACATAAATACAAAATGTATATTATAAAGGTGTATTATGTTAACATGTTTACCTATATATCATGCATGTGGGAACAGAGGTATTCATTTTAGTTTTCTACTTAAGTCATCTTCCTCAAAGATTTTTTCTCTAAATTGTGCAGTTCAAACTTAAATCTGAGCCGACAACAATTTTCGTGATCAAGTTTGAGATACATGTATGATTTAGCTGTGAATGAGTAACTGACAGTTTAGTGTCTACAACAGTACAGCAGGCCAGGAGGTGTAATACCACGGGGTATATATTGGGTTACAGATACTGGAGTAAAGTACATTATGTTGGCAAAGTTGAAGCCTCGGATTCAAAATTTTGACAGTTATTGACGTGCAGTATATTGAATTTAATATTATGTTCATTAGAGGGTGATCGTTCCCTAGGAATTTTACCTCCAGGGACTGCAACGGGCAGTGTTGGAGCAAATACAGTGACAGTGAATATTCCTTGGGGTAACCTTAACACTATGATCACCCTTTAATGAAAATTTTCCTGATTTCAATATACTAAGTGTCAAAATTAAACATGTTCTTCCATCATTTTGACTAAATTTAGTTCTACGGCAGCAAATCTTCCAGCCATGTTCTGTTGTATGCTCAGTGTTAATATAACATAGTCAATGTGACACTGGTCTTTGGAACTTTTTTGGAAAATACTAAGTTACTAATAGCAATAGACAACAGCAGACCCATTAGGCCTGTATCTCTCACCACATACTTAGAGCTGATTAAACACAGCTACTATTATTATGCCTTAAAATATTTTTCAAATATTTCTAAAATAGTGAAATGTAGTCAGAGTTTACTCTGACCCTTGCACCAGACTTAGACATTTTGACAGATATGAGTTTGCTGCATAGCCAGAGTTTCCTCTGGCCTAGACCCCAGACTTAGCCATTTGTGTTGAGCTGTCAAAATGCCCAATTAAGTCTGATGTCAGGGCCTGAGGAAACTGAGGGCTAAGTGAAATGTTGCCAATGACATGTTGAACCCCTCTTTAAAAGATAACAGCTGGTGGCACCATACTGCTGGGTGTGCTTGGACATGGAGACAAGCGCCGGGCTACCTTATATTACATGATATCATATATCAGGTCTGAATGTATACCCTGTATACCCGACACCACAGAGATCACAACAAAGGGCCCGACACCAGACACCATTAGACTGATTAACGTCTCAATGGACGAATATTTAAATTGATAATTAAACATTTTATTTAAAATCATATCTGTCAAAATATCTAAACCACCTGTGTCATTTCTTGCCTTGGAACAGTCCTTTATTAAACCAGTAATCCATTTGCTCATTTCAATTTGTTCCAGAAGGGTGGTACAAATCTGTGATATTTAGACTTGTCAACCATTGTGTTGGAGGTACACGAGTAAAAACTGAACATATGGTGTTTATAGTTCATTCTTATGAATTATGATTTTGCAATTCGTCAGGTGAAATTTGATACCTTACACAGTAACAGGAACCCTGGAAGAATGACAGTGGCACTCCAGTTACCATAGAGCAGATGGTCACAAAGGAGGATTACTAAATATATACAGCAATCTTAGAGTCTGAGGAAAGAAGTGAGGAAAAAACTATGTTTTAAGATTGTCCATGTTAAGGGCCAAAAACCTTTGGTTATGCTGATGTATGTGTTCTTTACTGCTGAAGATTTGAATTCCTGCTTTCTGCAAATTGACGATGAGTATTTCTGAATTGATAAGGACTCTGTCATTCCACCAAGTAATGTGGATATAGCATGTGGATATATCAGATTCATCAAAGTAAACCGCTACATAATTCTTAACAAGTGATCACTTTTTGTCTTCTACAAACTTTTTTTAGACAGTATTAGATAAAAACCATGGCTAATTTCAACTACTTGCTTCATATAAACAAGCCCTTGAGAGGAAAAGGTGTTTCAAAATGTCCACGTCATATTCCGATGGAAGTGGTTTTCACATGTCACGATTGTGAAGGGGAACTTATCTGTACAAAATGTGCTAAGTCACTGCATAAATCTCACAGATTTGAGCACATGACCAAATATTTATCAGCCAAAAGAGAAAATATCCAACTTTACGCCAACAATCTGGAGTCTAGACAAATGCCTCAACTACAACGGGAGATGGACTCGATACAGGTGCAGCTCAAGGAAAATACCCAGCATTTTGACAGCGTTATTGCATCAGTGAAGCTTCGAAGCAAAGAATTCCGTGCAGAGATTATCAAGGTGACACGTAAGTTCACCATGACTTGCAAAAAACTTGAAAAAGAAAATGCAGAACTTCTCAACAAGTACAAAAATGAACTCTATTCAAATTATGTGAAACTGAGTTCAAAGTTACAGGAATGTAAACGTTCAATCAAGTCCATGAACAGTGCCCTAGTGTTTGACCTTGAAAGAGAGTTGAAGTACCGTAAACTGGAAATCGTGCTGCCCAAACCACCAGAGCTGAGTACAGCAGCATTTCAGCCACGTCTATTTCCACTGGATAAAATGGAGAAGATGGTAGGATCACTGACACTGGTGGACCCAGCTGGAGTCACAGAAGCCAAGATTCTGGTGGCCGAGCCAGAAACAGCCCCACAGTATCAGGTCTACGACAAAACAATGGAGGCCAAATTTGAAATTTTTAGCAACATCACGTCACTGGCCATCTCCTCATACAACAAGGCATGGGTTTCCTACGACACAAGCACAGAGGTGATCGGGATTGACATGCGGGGAAAAGTAAAGCAGATGATCGAACAGGACCTGATGATAGACGATATCAGTCTGGCCCCAATCACCGGTAATCTGTGGATGTGCTGCGAGTCAGATCTCAGTATACGTGAGGTTGTCAAGGGAAAGACACCAACTCTTGGAGGACGTATAAGGTTCCACACCAAGGACCGACCATGGTGTCTTTGTGTAACCCATGAGAATGGGGTTGCCGTGGGAACCAAGGGGGAGATAACTCTGTACACACCAGACGGAACAATTATTCGCAAATCAGGTTTTGATTCTGAAGGCAGGAATGTAGTGGTTGAACCAAATCACATTAAAACTTGTCCGTTAACAGGTGACCTTGCCATATGTGACCTTGACGACATTTCATGTGGTGGCAATGACAGCCCATTTGTTACGGTCTTGAACAAACAACTACAATCAAAGTTTCGCTATGAACGTGACACACCACTCGGAGGAGAAAATCAGGTTGTGACACCAACTGCAAGATTTGTCACCTCAACTGCCACATTACAATCTGCTTTCATGCCGCTCGACGTTTGTTATGACTACCGTGGCCACCTGCTGATCGCAGACTATGACAATCGGTCCATTCTTCTTGTGAGTGGAAGTACGGGACAATTTCTGACTAAACTCCACTTAGATGACCTTCGACCTGGTGCTCTTGCTTTACAAGCAGATGGCAAACTTTGGATAGGTTTTCCAGAAGAGAAAATCATCAAGGTCATCAAGTACAAACTGGCTATCAACAATCAAGTATGACCTCCATGAGGCTTCTTTACGTAAACTCAGACTCTAGCGTCTCTACCTGATATCAGACTCTAGCGTCTCTACCTGATATCAGACTCTAGTGTCTCTACCTTATATAAGACACTAGTGTCTCTACCTCATAACAGACTCTAGTGTCTCTACCTGATTTCAGACTCTAGTGTCTCTACCTGATATCAGACTCTAGTGTCTCTACCTTATATAAGACACTAGTGTCTCTACCTCATAACAGACTCTAGTGTCTCTACCTTAAATAAGACATTAGTGTCTCTACCTCATAACAGACTCTAGTGGCTCTACCTCATAACAGACTCTAGTGTCTCTACCCCATAACAGACTCTAATGTCTCTACCTGATTTCAGACTCTAGTGTCTCTACCTGATATCAGTCTCTAGTGTCTCTACCTGATTTCAGTCTCTAGTGTCTCTACCTCATAACAGACTCTAGTGTCTCTACCTGATTTCAGACTCTAGTGTCCCTACCTGATATCAGACTCTAGTGTCTCTACCTGATAACAGACTCTAGTGTCTCTATCAAGACTATAATGACAGTTAAAAGCTGTGCTATGCTGGGTAAATGATCACAAACAAGCTGATTTTAATGAATTTCTAACTTGCTTTTTGTCTTATTTCGCTCCAAAATCATATATTATATGTAGGAGGGAGTGCATGGTACATTTTGGGGAAAGGAGTGACGAATAGGTGACATGAAACATTAGGGACAAGGAAAGTAAATGAGTGGGGCTTGGGTTGAGGTGTTTGTGACTTATTATGGATGGGCTTTTATCGATAGAGTGTAGGCTGCAGTCTGGGAGTGTGGATATGGAGTTAGAAGTGCGTGGGTTTTTGCGATGTGGATTTGGATTTACAGTTGAAAAAGGTTTGTAGGTATAGATTTGTGATGGGGGTGGATGTGGAGTCATATTGTTGTAGTTAAGAACTGAGATTTGGAATATGGAAGTTGGATAGGCTTTTGGGTGTGGATTAAGTAATGGATACAGTTACAGGAGAGAGTACAGAGTGTGTCAGTGAAGTGTGGGTTATGGAGAGGGGAGTGAGTGGAAATTTGAGGGAGAGGGTGGAGATTTGAGGGAGTGTGGTGGAGATTTGAGGGAGTGTTGTGGAGATCTGAAGGAGTGTGGTGGAGATCTGAAGGAGTGTGGTGGAGATTTGAGGGAGTGTGGTAGAGATTTGAGGGAGTGTGGTGGAGATTTGAGGGAGTGTGGTGGAGATTTGAGGGAGTGTGGTGGAGATTTGAGGAAGTGTGGTGGAGATTTGAGGGAGTGTGGCGGAGATTTGAGGGAGGGAAATTTGAGGGAGTGTGGTGGAGATCTGAGGGAGTGTGGTGGAGATTTGAGGGGGTCTTGTGGACATTTGAGGTAATGTGGCGGAGATTTGAGGGAGGGAAATTTGAGGGAGTGTGGTGGAGATCTGAGGGAGTGTGGTGGAGATTTGAGGGGGTCTTGTGGACATTTGAGGTAATGTGGCGGAGATTTGAGGGAGGGAAATTTGAGGGAGTGTGGTGGAGATCTGAGGGAGTGTGGTGGAGATTTGAGGGGGTCTTGTGGACATTTGAGGTAATGTGGCGGAGATTTGAGGGAGGGAGATTTGAAGGAGTGTGGCAGAGATTTGAGGGAGTGTGGTAGAGATCTGAGGGAGGGAGATTTGAGGGAGTGTGGCAGAGATTTGAGGGAGTGTGGTAGAGATCTGAAGGAGTGTGGTGGAGATCTGAAGGAGTGTGGTGGAGATTTGAGGGAGTGTGGTGGAGGTTTGAGGGAGTGTTGTGGAGGTTTGATGGAATGTGGTGGAGGTTTGAGGGAGTGAGATTTGAGGGAGTGTGTTGGAGGCTTGAGGAAGTGTGGTGGAGATTTGAAGGAGTGTGGTGGAGGTTTGAGGGAGTGTGGTGGAGATTTGAGGGAGGGAAATTTGAGGGAGTGTGGTGGAGATCTGGGGGGGTGCGGTGGCGATTTGAGGGGGTCTTGTGGACATTTGAGGTAATGTGGCGGAGATTTGAGGGAGGGAGTTTTGAAGGAGTGTGGCAGAGATTTGAGGGAGTGTGGTAGAGATCTGAGGGAAGGAGATTTGAGGGAGTGTGGCAGAGATTTGAGGGAGTGTGGTGGAGATTTGAGGGAGTGTGGTGGAGGTTTGAGAGAGAGTGGTGGAAAATTGAGGGAGTGTGGTGGTGATTTGAGGGAATGTGGTGTAGATTTTTAGGGACTGAAATTTGAGGGAGTGTGGTGGAGATTTGAGGGAGTGACATTTGAAGGAGTGTGGTGAAGTTTGAGGGAGTGTGGTGGAGATTTGAGGGTGTGTGGTAGAGATTTGAGGGAGTGTGGTATAGATTTGAGGGAGAGTGGTGGAGATTTGCGGGAGAGTGGTGGAGGTTTGAGGGAGTGTGGTGGAGGTTTGATGGAGTGTGGTGGAGGTTTGAGGGAGTGTGGTGGAGGTTTGAGGGAGTGTGTTGGAGGTTTGAGGGAATGTGGTGGAGATTTGAGGGAGAGGGGTGGAGATTTGAGGGAGTGTGATGGAGGTTTGAGGAAGTGTGGTGGAGGTTTGATGGAGAGTGGTGGAGGTTTAAGGGAGTGAGATTTGAGGGAGTGTGATGGAGGTTTGAGGGAGTGTGGTGGAGGTTTGAGGGAGTGTGGTTGAGATTTGAGGGAGTGTTGTGGAGATTTGAGGGAGTGTGGTGGAGGTTTGAGGGAGAGTGGTGGAGATTTGAGGGAGTGTATTGGAGATTTGAGGGAGTGTTGTGGAGATTTGAGGGAGTGTGGTGGAGATTTGAGGGAGTGTTGTTGGGTAGTTCATTCTGATGTAGAGTCTGGGTGGAAATCTGGATGTGCGAGTAATGTGCAGGAGGGTTAGGTGGTTAGAGATTATACCTGTTTTTCTTATGTATATCCTAATCAATATTCTTGTGACACCTTTGTTTTATCATCCTTTATATAGCTGTCATGACATGTTTCAAGTAAATTAAAATTTTGAATAACAGAAAAGTGTTGCATCATTTTTATGCTATTATTTATCATAAAGATCAGTGTAAACAAGGTATTAGGTCCAAGGCTTTTGGCAGTAAAAGTACCAAACTCCTATATTTCAGGAACACATACCATATACCATCCCACAGCTAGGGTGACAGTACCAAAAAGGGATCACCAATCCAGGGGTTGAATGCTATTCATTTATGGCTGTACCAAAAGAAGAATATCAATGGGTGTTCTTACCAATGAAATCTTTAGAACACTCTGACGTCACTAATTTGCATTTCCGGTTTTTACAAATGTCAGTACCCAAAACAGATCACTGCTAGAATTTTGCAACATTTTTCACTTCAAATGGACATTTCTTTGTTTTAACATTTTATTTTTACCATTAAAATGTATATGAATACAAGTATTCTGAAGCAATATGCATAGTCCTTTCATGCGTCATTTTTTTTACAACGTAAACGAAAAATTAGATTTGAGTTTGAAATACATCTTCTACTATTTGAATGTAACAATTATTCATGTCTAGACAAAAATGATGCATGGCAATGTATTCTAAAGTGAAATCATTCAACTTGATTTAAAAGTATTTTAGCAAAATGTGATCGGAATCGGGTACTGATCCAATTTTCATCCTGCTTCCTTCAACATTTCAAAGGGCAAATATTACAGGATACAAACATGTTCATGTTTCTAACTTCTAAAACTTCCTTGAATTCTGCGATTCACTGAAATAGCTTCACATAGCAAGTAAGTCAACACTAGAGGCCGAATATAATTACTCTTGTCATTATTGATCTTTTGTTTCTGGGAAATTCCAATACCAAATTCCAGTAATGATTTAAGTCATGTATATAGCAGGAGCGTTATGTACATTGGGGTGGTAAGGTGGCACAGTGGATAGCGCGCTTGCCTTTCACCAAGGTGGCCGGGGTTTGATTCTCCGATCGGACGTGAAAAGGTATGGGGTCACCTACCCAACCACGTGGGTTTTCTCGGGGTACTCCTGTATCCTCCCACATTACCCCGCGCCCTAAAATCCAGGCCAACAAGAGTGATTAATATAAGTTGAAATAACTTGTTTCATAATAGTTGTAAAAGAAATAAAGTTTATGTTAAGAGCAAATAAATATGTACCTTTGGACTCTTTGTACAACACTTTGTAGAGAGCTTTTGCCTTCTAGTTTTAAACACTTCTGTCGACCAATCAAAAGGCTGTAGTCTTGAACTCCAAGGTCACGGAAAAAGTCCACGTCTACTTTCAACTGTTTGACAAACCAGGCTTTTTGCACACCTACAAAGACAAATGGTCATTTGTATCACATTGTGATAGATATTAACACCATAAGGAGACCATGATCGTACATGAATTTCCATTTCATATGATAATGATGAAATAAGTAAAGGATTTTTTCATTAAGTGTACCACTGATGAATTAAATTGAAAAATGTATTAGGATATCGACATACTGTATACCAAATTTCTGTTTTGTCTCAGTTTAACATTTAACATTGGGCCCCCCATGAATATTATAAGTAAGTATGTGAGGGATCACCCTGGTTATCATAAGTAATCTGAAATTTGGTTATAGCAAAATATCTGTCCAAAATCTACATTAACGACGGAGTCCCTTACCTAGACGTATTGTTTCATGTTCAAAGTTCTGGTCTTTCAGAATTGTGAGGATGTCTTCATCAGAAGTATTTGGCTGTAAAAATAAACATAACATCATATCACTATCAGAGTCATATCAGTCTTAACTAATAAAATCATTCAAAGACTACATTCAAGTAGAAGTGAATGATCATCAAGTAATCCAAGTTTTTGGGCCCTAGGTTTACCTCTGTTTTCCTTAGCGGCAGATATGGTATGCTCATACATACCACATGTCAAATAAAAATATTTTAAAATACTATATTTACCAATCATTCTGAACATCTCTGTAGTTGCCATGTAGCCTATTCTTATAGTAAGCTTTACAAGAAATAGAACATTTGTTACTATGAGTTCTATCTGAGGGATCACTCTATTAATGAACCTTGATAGCTCTATCTGAGGGATTGCTGTGGTAATGAGGCTTGAAAGCTCTATCTGAGGGAATGCTGTGGTAATGAGCCTTGCAAGCTCTATCTGAGTGAGTGATCTGGTTATGGGCCTTGCAAGCTCTATCTGAGGGATTGTTCTGGTAATGAACCTTGAAAGCTCTATCTGAGGGATTGCTGTGGTAGTGAGGCTTGAAAGCTCTATCTGAGGGATTGTTCTGGGAATGAACCTTGAAAGCTCTATCTGAGGGATTGCTGTGGTAATGAGGCTTGAAAGCTCTATCTGAGGGATTGCTGTGGTAATGAGCCTTGCAAGCTCTATCTGAGTGATTGATCTGGTTATGGCCTTGCAAGCTCTATCCGAGGGATTGTTCTGGTAATGAGCCTTGCAAGCTCTATCTGAGGGATTGTTCTGGTAATGAGGCTTGAAAGGTCTATCTGAGGGATTGTTCTGGTAATGAGGCTTGAAAGCTCTATCTGAGGGATTGCTCTGGTAATGAGGCTTGAAAGCTCTATCTGATTGAACATTCTGGTAATGAGCCTTGAAAGCTCTATCTGAGTGATTGCTCTATTAATGAACATTGCAAGCTCTATCTGAGGGATTGCTTTGGCAATGAGCCTTGAAAGCTCTATCTGAGGGATTGCTCTGGTAATGAGGCTTGAAAGCTTTATCTGAGGGATCACTGTGGTAATGAGCCTTGCAAACTCTATCTAAGGGATTGCTCTGGTAATGAGGCTTGAAAGCTTTATCTGAGGGATTTCTCTGGTAATGAGGCTTGAAGAGTGACTGGTAGCAATGAGTTTCAATGAGCTTTATTCATTTTCCTTTCTCATCAAAAAAATAAAAATGAAAGGAATGCACAAAATAATGTTTTGATGAGATATGCAATAAAGTTTTTAGTTTTAGTCATATCTCCCTTGTTGTTTTTTACATGTATACAATTTATACTTGTAAAAATAAGAGATTCCATAGGGATCTTGGCGCCCACCATTGTACCATCTTCATTAGTTCTTTGTCAGTTCGATCTTTTCTGTTCGTTTCTCTTATCTGTTTGACCGAGTCATGTATACAGTAAATGCACCTTGAGGTAACTTTTGATCTAAACTTCATTCTTCTGTATATAAAAGACAACCTTTCATATGAGTTTGCAGTTTCACATATTTACTAGTACAGTACTTAATGTGAAAAAAATAGAAGTGATCATTGCAATATAAGAATGATCTGTAGCCATCTTGTTTTTATGATCACTCCTAAAATAAACATGCACAACAAATGACCAAGGGGAACCTACATAACAAATTCTAGAAAGATCAATCCAGTACTTTCTGGGAAACAGCGCTACTCATTATTCAAGATGGCTGGCTGTCGGCCATCTTGGTTTTTCGATCAGTATCAAAAAACGATATGCATAACTACGGACCATGGGGAACCTTCATGTAAAATTTGAGAAAGATACCTCCAGTACATTCTGAAAAACAGTGCTAACAAACTTTAACTCTTAAATTCAAGATGGCTGCCTGACGTCTATCTTGGTTTTGTGATCAGTCCCAAAAAAATATATGTATAACTAGGGATAATGATGAACCTTTAAGTGAAACCTAAGAAAGATCCCTCCGGTGCTTTCTGAGAAATAGTGCTAACAAGAATTGTTTAAGGACGGACGAAATGACAGATGGAAGACGGACCACAGACGCAGAGTGATTTGAATAGCCTACCATCTGATGATGGTGGGCTAATAAAACGAGGGATACATGTATATGATTTAAACTAAAATTTTTGTTACATAATATTATCACAACTGGATGTTGAAATGTTTTCCACACTCGTATAACTAACCTTCTGATAACGTCCTCCCAAGCAGCCCTTAACATCGAACCTTGTGTCGATGTTACTTGGAGGAAAAAAGATGCTCTGCATCGACAGGAAATATATCTACAATATAATGTTAAATAGTGCAGACTAAGTCTCGCAGAGGTTAACATAGGTATCAGACAGTAATTGTACTCACAGACACTTTAATTTAGTAATCAAATTAGCAAGACATAGCTTAAATTATTGTTAACGTAATGTAAATGAAGGTACACTCATCATGTCTTTGACATTAACTACCAGGCCAGTAAAATACACATCACACAGTAGCAGTGGCAGTTACCTTGGGTTCTCCTTCTATCTGTATTGAGTACAACCCGAGGAACTTCACAATGAGTGAGTGAGGATATATCTGAAAATGCTCAAGGTATTCTCTGAAAAAAACCCATTTTAAATTGAATTATGCATTTCAAAGGAATAAAAAATTGAATTGGAAAGATAACGCTTTATAACAAACATTTTGAATGTATGCTAAATTACAATTTTATTAATTTCATATACAGGCTCTTGAAGTAATGACCCTTCTAAATAATGTCTATATCTCCAGTAGTGATTCAAGCAGTCAGTAGACTTGCTCAAGGGCAAATATTTTCCATCAGCAGGAATTTTTTTTATAAAAAAGAAATATTTTCTCTATGGAGAAACAAATTTCTATAAAGGAGACAAATTTTCATAAGATGGACATTTTTGTATTTACTAAGGAAAACTTTCATCTACGTGGGATATGTATTTTCTATATTAAAAGGGTTTAGTGTTTTCTGTAGACATATTTTCTATTAGCCAAATTCCTCTGGCCCTGAATGCCAGACTTTGGGATTTTGACAGATCGATGTCTGGTGTGTGTAAAATGTCAAAGTCTGGTGTCATGGCCAAAGGAAACTCGGCAAACTAATAACAAAGGCTAATGATTCAAACATCATAAAATAACAACTTTAATAAATGGAAATCAAAATGTTATGAGTTTTTGCTTTAATTGCATTTACTTTCTAGGAATAATAATAGTAATATAAACAGAAGGAAAAGTCAAACACAACACTGAACAGAATGTTTCATTCATTCACCCCTGAAATTTCATAATGAACTATTCCAACCCTTTAAATTGGAAGAGATCAAATGTGTTTTCAGGGGTGAACAAGTTTACAATGCAGACTTACCCTAGGAATGACAGGAAGAACTGCACACTATAAACCTTGTCTGTTTTCAGGATATACTGCTGATCATTACTGTAGAGAAATATACCAAAGATAAAGACTCGTAAAAATTCTAATTCATCACATAATACAATTAATTTTAATCTATTCATTAGAATTCTAATTCATGATTTACAGAACATGTATATTTGATGTTCAGCATAAGCTATTGGTAGCATGATCCACAGAACATGTATATTTGATGATCAGCATAAGCTATTGGTAGCATGATTCTTGAATTTGCAATTGATGCATAACAGAAATTTATAGGAAAAAAACATGACATGGAATCATAAATGTAGGAAATCTACAGTATCTGGTTATTCAATCAAATCAACTCTGGTGTCCTGATTCAAAGGCAAATTAATTCTGAGAAAGATATTTTAGTTGAGGGATAAAATAAGACAAACATCATTTTTAGTAACAATGCCGTATTGCATCTTTATGGTTTTTTTATTAACAAAACCGTATAGCACCTATATTTTGCTAGGTTATTTTTTTACTATATTCAAAATGGAAGTACCACTATCTTGTCTCCCTTTTGATAGGGAGCTGGTTAACCCTTTTAAAAGGGAGTCGGTTAACCCTTTTAAAAGGGAGCTGGTTAACCCTTTTGATAGGGAGTAGGTTAACCCTTTTGATAGGGAGCTGGTTAACCCTTTTGATAGGGAGTTGGTAAACCCTTTTGATAGGGAGCTGGTTAACCCTTTTGATAGGGAGTCGGTTAACCCTTTTGATAGGGAGCTGGTTATCCCTTTTGATAGGGAGTGGGTTAACCTTTTTGATAGGGAGCTGGTTAACCCTTTTGATAGGGAGTTGGTTAACCACTATGATAGGGAGTTAGTTAACCCTTTTGATAGGGAGTTGGTTTACCTTTTGATAGGGAGCTGGTTAACCCTTATGATAGGGAGTTGTTAACCCTTTAGATAGGGAGCTGGTTAACCCTTTTGATAGGGAGTTAGTTAACCCTTTTGATAGGGAGTTGGTTTACCTTTTGATAGGGAGCTGGTTAACCCTTATGATAGGGAGTTGTTAACCCTTTAGATAGGGAGCTGGTTAACCCTTTTGATAGGGAGTTGTTAACCCTTTAATAGGGAGTTGGTTAACCCTTTTGATAGGGAGTCGGTTAACCCTTTTGATAGGGAGCTGGATAACCCTTTTGATAGGGAGTTGGTTAACCCTTTTGATAGGGAGTCAGTTAACCCTTTTGATAGGGAGTTGTTAACCCTTTTAATAGGGAGTTGGTTAACCCTTTTGATAGGGAGTTGGGTTTACTCTTTTCATAGGGAGTCAGTTAACCCTTTTGATAGGGAGTTGTTAACCCTTTTAATAGGGAGTTGGTTAACCCTTTTGATAGGGAGTTGGTTAACTCTTTCATAGGGAGTCGGTTAACACTTTTGATAGGGAGCTGATTAACCCTTTTGATAGGGAGCTGGTTAACCCTTTTAAAAGGGAGTCGGTTAACCCTTTAAAAGGGAGCTGGTTAACCCTTTTGATAGGGAGTCGGTTAACACTTTTGATAGGGAGCTGGTTAACCCTTTTCATAGGGAGCTGGTTAACCCTTTTGATAGGGAGTTAGTTAACCCTTTTGATAGGGAGTTGGTTTACCTTTTGATAGGGAGCTGGTTAACCCTTATGATAGGGAGTTGTTAACCCTTTAGATAGGGAGCTGGTTAACCCTTTTGATAGGGAGCTGGTTTACCTTTTGATAGGGAGCTGGTTAACCCTTATGATAGGGAGTTGTTAACCCTTTTGCTAGGGAGCTGGTTAACCCTTTTGATAGGGAGTTGGTTAACGACTATGATAGGGAGTTAGTTAACCCTTTTGATAGGGAGTCGGTTAACCCTTTTGATAGGGAGTCGGTTAACACTTTTGATAGGGAGCTGGTTAACCCTTTTGATAGGGAATTGTTAACCCTTTTAATAGGGAGCTGGTTAACCCTTTTGCCTATTGTAAACCCTTTTGATAGGGAGTCGGTTAACCCTTTTGATAGGGAGTTGGTTAACCCTGTTGATAGGGAGCTGGTTAACCATTTTGATAGGGAGTCGGTTAACCCTTTTGATAGGGAGCTGGATAACCCTTTTGATAGGGAGTTGGTTAACCCTTTTGATAGGGATTTGGTTAACCCTTATGATAGGGAGTTAGTTAACCCTTTTGATAGGGAGTTGGTTAATCCTTTTGATAAGGAGCTGGTTAACCCTTTTGATAGGGAGTTGGTTCACACTTTTGATAGGGAGTTGGTTAACCCTTTTGATAGGGAGTCAGTTAACCCTTTTGATAGGGAGTTGTTAACCCTTTTGATAGGGAGTTGGTTTACCCTTTTCATAGGGAGTCGGTTAACCCTTTTGATAGGGAGTTGGTTAATCCTTTTGATAAGGAGCTGGTTAACCCTTTTGATAGGGAGTTGGTTCACACTTTTGATAGGGAGTTGGTTAACCCTTTTGATAGGGAGTTGGTTTACTCTTTTGATAGGGAGTCAGTTAACCCTTTTGATAGGGAGTTGTTAACCCTTTTGATAGGGAGTTGGTTTACCCTTTTCATAGGGAGTCGGTTAACCCTTTTGATAGGGAGTTAGTTAACCCTTTTGATAGGGAGTTGGTTTTCCTTTTGATAGGGAGCTGGTTAACCCTTATGATAGGGAGTTGTTAACCCTTTTGATAGGGAGTTGGTTTACCCTTTTCATAGGGAGTCGGTTAACCCTTTTGATAGGGAGTTAGTTAACCCTTTTGATAGGGAGTTGGTTTACCTTTTGATAGGGAGCTGGTTAACCCTTATGATAGGGAGTTGTTAACCCTTTAGATAGGGAGCTGGTTAACCCTTTTGATAGGGAGCTGGTTTACCTTTTGATAGGGAGCTGGTTAACCCTTATGATAGGGAGTTGTTAACCCTTTAGATAGGGAGCTGGTTAACCCTTTTGATAGGGAGTTGTTAACCCTTTTAATAGGGAGTTGGTTAACCCTTTTGATAGGGAGTCGGTTAACCTTTTTGATAGGGAGCTGGTTAACCCTTTTGATAGGGATTTGGTTAACCCTTATGATAGGGAGTTAGTTAACCCTTTTGATAGGGAGTTGGTTTTCCTTTTGATAGGGAGCTGGTTAACCCTTATGATAGGGAGTTGTTAACCCTTTAGATAGGGAGCTGGTTAACCCTTTTGATAGGGAGTCGGTTAACACTTTTGATAGGGAGTTGGTTAATCCTTTTGATAAGGAGCTGGTTAACCCTTTTGATAGGGAGTTGGTTTACTCTTTTGATAGGGAGTCAGTTAACCCTTTTGATAGGGAGTTGTTAACCCTTTAATAGGGAGTTGGTTAACCCTTTTGATAGGGAGTTGGTTAACTCTTTTCATAGGGAGTCGGTTAACACTTTTGATAGGGAGCTGGTTAACCCTTTTCATAGGGAGCTGGTTAACCCTTTTGATAGGGAGTTGTTAACCCTTTTGATAGGGAGTTGGTTTACCCTTTTCATAGGGAGTCGGTTAACCCTTTTGATAGGGAGTCGGTTAACACTTTTGATAGGGAGCTGATTAACCCTTTTGATAGGGAGCTGGTTAACCCTTTTGATAGGGAATTGTTAACCCTTTTAATAGGGAGCTGGTTAACCCTTTTGCCTATTGTAAACCCTTTTGATAGGGAGTCGGTTAACCTTTTTGATAGGGAGCTGAATAACCCTTTTGATAGGGAGCTGGTTAATCCTTTTGATAGGGAGTTGGGTAACCCTTTTGATAGGGAGTTGTTAACCCTTTTAATAGGGAGCTGGTTAACCCTTTTGATAGTGAGCTGGTTAACCCTTTTGATAGGGAATTGGTTTACCCTTTTGATAGGGAGTTGGTTAACCCTTTTGATAGGGAGCTGGTTAATCCTTTTGATAGGGAGTTGGGTAACCCTTTTGATAGGGAGTCAGTAAACCCTTTTGATAGGGAGCTGGTTAACCCTTTTAATAGGGAGTTGTTAACCCTTTTGTTAGGGAGTTGGTAAACCTTTTGATAGGGAGTCAGTTAACCCTTTTGATAGGGAGTTGTTAACCCTTTTAATAGGGAGTTGGTTAACCCTTTTGATAGGGAGCTGGTTAACCCTTTTGATAGGGAATTGTTAACCCTTTTAATAGGGAGCTGGTTAACCCTTTTGCCTATTGTACTGTGTTGGATGGTATTATGAATGAAACTTAAATGTTGTCGAATAACAAAATAACTAGGAAGTTTCCTGCCAAGAATTTATCTGATATTATTGATTTTAACTCATTCACCCCTGAAAACATGTTTGAACTCTTCCAATCATGGGTTGAAATAGTTCATTGTAAGAGTTCATAGGTGAATGAGTTTAAGTTTTGAGAAAAATATAAGCTTACCTAAGAAAAAAGTCTTGACCACTTTTAGAATTGCTAATAAATTCCAAATAAGGAAGTGACGGTGGAGCTACAGCGGCGAGATAATCAGCCTCTGTAACACTGACAGCTCTTCGTATGGAGGCAAATACTGAGCTGGCATAACTACAGAAGGTAAAGGTCTGCAACACAGAAAAACATCTACAGACATATGTATCTAGGTCATCTACTTGTAAGATAATTTGCATATATCATACTTGCCAACATTTTGAAATTTCCATGGGGGAGATCATGTGTGCTCATAATGTACACTCAAGGGAAAAAATGAAACTTCTAAATGGCATCTTTAGAGCTTTTCTTTTAGATGAAATCATCATATCTCAGAAAATAGGAGTAGTTTAGAAAATTCACAGGTTGAAAATAGGGAGTCTTCTTCCAAATCAGGAGAGTTGGCAAGTATGATATATTCATTACACTGTCATCTACAGCTCATAATGCAGAGTAAACTAACAGCCAAGAAGTGTAGTAGAATGTTGACATTCATCTTAAGGTTTCAGGAGGATACCTAGTGGTATATTTACAGAGGCCGTCTTAATGTAAAGCAATACAGAAGCCTTCTTAATGTAAAGCAATACAGAAGCCTTCTTAATGTAAAGCAATACAGAAGCCTTCTTAGTGTAAAGCAATACAGAAGCCCTCTTAATGTAAAGCAATACAGAAGCCTTCTTAATGTAAAGCAAAGCAGATAACAAAAGGAGAAAAGTGACTACAAAATCCAGGTTTCTGTAACTACATTGATACTGATGCTGAATAGTTTCAGCTATACAGTGTACTGCTTAATCTCTGCTCCATATCTACTTCCTTGGTTACCATTGATGTCATCATAGATATTGCATATTGTTTCTTGTCAGATGACTTTCATTGATACCCCACTCTCACCATGTAGCATACACCAAATAGCTGTGCTGTGACGACGGCCTGCCTGGTAGTGTAGCATGCCAACACTAGTCAGAACAAGTACAATACAGGTATGGAAACCTGGATCAGGAGTTGATTTTCTTTTATTTATTTAAAATTACAACTCAGATTTAATCATTATTTTATAATCAACAGCAAACTGGTATGAACAATTTCAGTGAATTTCTGATTATTTTCTTTCCTGGGGCCTCCCAACTTCACAAGTATATTATGTCTGTGAAAAAATGCTGTAAGTGTAGTGAATTTCTATTCATAATTTGATGTTTCAAAAAAACATTTGTTCCCTTAACCTTTGATACCTAGTCTCGGCAGTATTCTTATGTAGTCCTTGTGTTACAGTCAACAACTTTCCTAAATATATAAAGAGTTACACTATATTCCATCTATAACTTGAAGACGAGTTTAAGTTTAAATGAGTTGAACCAGTCACACTGGAGATTCCACCGAGCATACCTACCCCAACTGGGGTGTATCAATATTCTAGTAAAGATGCCAATATATACAGACAAGTTAATCTAGCTCTGAGATATTGCCTATGTCCGCGCAATCATTGCTTGTGATCATGTATGCTTGTACATTGTACTAGTAAATACAGGGGATATACACAAAGCAGTATTAATGTAACAGTAAATGCAAAATAACTATGTATGAACAATAAAACACCTAATACTAATCTAACTGAGCGATGCTACTACTGATCGCTCAGAGTGTGCATATATATACACACGAGGCCGATCGCTCGCTGATCTCTCACTGCCGCGCCACAGCAACACACACATAGGTCTTGACCACTTGTACTGGTGATAGCTGGGATAGCTCAGTACGACCGATGTCTCGCTACAATGATAGCTCGGTACCACTACCTGTACACCTATACTGTAAAATCTGTAGAACTCCTCTTGCTAACCTTGAGTTATCCTGACCACTCGGTGATCCCTATAACTCCCTATAGGAATCTAACAAGCTTTCACAGAGCCGTCTTGATTTATCAATGTAGCGGACCCGAGGCAACACGATAGCTCGCCCTTGTTAGGTATGGTACTTTCGATTGAGCGATTGAGCGATTGTAACGGGTAACAGTCTTATTCAGAGATACCCCATCATTGAAAGCTCGCTCTCTAGTATACTTACAAGTAACAAATAGGAATGGTCTGCTCCCCTGTGGCTTTTGACATAGAATGGGGATGCACGATGCCGCCATGGCCGTGGCCGAGGCCGAGTGGCTGTGCACGCTGGCCGAGGGACCCTGCAAGTGCGTTTTGACGGGCTTATATACCCATATGCCCGCCCCTACCTGTCAATCACCCAGAGATTGCCTGTATCACATCACCTATGTGTTTTGACTGGGGCTAGTTCAAGGCCAGCTCTATTCAAGCGCGTAAATAACATCGAGAATGCACAGGAACATGGCAGTTTACAAATAAAAACAACTAGCTCGACAGGTATTCATCACATTTACACACATGCACACAGACATATAGAAATATTGTCATACTCACTGGCATGGGTAAACAAATCCTTAGGTCATCTTGAATACTCATTAAAATATTTACCTTTCCCTTCTTGGTTTGAAAGGATTCCTCCACTTGGTGAGTGTAGTCATCTGGAGTTAATCTATCCTGTGTAACGCGAGAGTACAATGTTAGATTTCATCATCATCATTGATCATTGTTACCAGTATATTTATGCAGGGTTTTACATGAAGCTGAATCCTGCTTCAAATACCCCCATTTTCCATTACAGGACCCATGACCGGTAAATGACAACTTAAAAACGTCTAGTCTCCAAATGTTAATGATGTATATGACTTAAAGCAATAAATAATAAAAACGTTCATTTATGAGGACCCCAAGTATTTATCTAGGACCCCAATGTTCAATCAAGGGGGTCCCAAGGACACTCAGTCAAAATGGGATGTAAAACCATGTTAAAATATTTGATGCAATGAGGAAATAGGTGAGGAAATACCAAGAGGATTCCAGTGGAGGATGGAGGTGAACAGGCCCTAGTATGGAGGTCAAAATGAATTAACTTGACAGCATGTGGTAAGATAGGGCCAAGTTGGTAAATATATAGCTATAATGTAAATATATAGCAATGTTGTAAATATTAAGCAATGTTGTAAATATATATAGCTATATGTCAAGGGAATGGTCACGTTGGACGAATCTAAGGAACCCAAGGGAGGGTAGATTAGCGGACAGTTAAAGAGATGGTAGGGAAAGTGGGGTTGGGAGAAAGGAGGTCAATGAGAGGGCAGGGTAGGGTGCAGTGGGAGGTGGAGTAGGGTTGAGGAAAGGGGCAGGAGGTCTGTTATTAAGAGAGAAGGGTAGGATTAAGAGAGGGGAGGAGGACAATAAAGGTAGGAGAATTTGGGGTGAAAGAAATCAATAAGTTGGCAGGAGGGTAAAGGAGTAGCAGGATTTGGGAGGAAGGAGGTCTGCGAAAGTGAAGGTTAGGATTAACTATAGGAGGGGTAGGGAAGGAAAGAGCAGGAGGCAGTTTAAAGAAAGGTTGTGATAATGGATCAAAGCCTATATGGGAGGTACCTTAGGGGATTAAGGGACAGGAAATTGTCAGGGAAGGGATTGAAAAAGGAGGCAATTCTGAGAGAGGATCATAAAGAGCTTCAATGCAGGAGGAACTTGGAAAAAACAAAATTGGACACTTTATGGGATACTGGACAGAATAAATAAATGGGGTTAGAAGGTTGTTAGATGTCAGCTATGCATGATTGTTGTCAAAGTCAAAGACAGAGAGAGCCCAGAAGGTGAGCCTGAAGGAATTCAGATTGGATAGAAAAAGGATTTTCTCTGAAAGATCAAAGAGAATGGAGAGTATGTAGTTTGTTAATCCGAATTATTCTGACGTTTTATCGACTTTTTTTATATCGGTCTGGCGTCGATTAAAGACTAGTAGTTTGTGATCAATAACAGTGTAGGAGCACTAATTATTATTAATAGTCATTCTCCATGGCAGCCATACCATTTGAGTGTGTGGGGCCATTGCATGAAACCAAAATCACCTGACAAAAAGATAATTAATTTGGACCTTACATAAAAAAGTGAATGCAATCTATAAAAGTGAACTCATTACCTTTGGTCGTAGTTCTGGATGTTTAAGTAGAAGGTTACGAATGCCCTCTCGGATACAGTTGAGCATTTTGTATCTGTGGTGGTCGATGTCAACTTCCACGACTCCACGACGCTGGAGCCGCTTACGGAGACGGACCCACAGATTACTCTTCCCTCGCGCAGGTCCTTCCTCAGTAGCATTGTTGTCGGACATGATCTTGCCTGTTTTTAATGAGAAAACACATCTTATAGAATAGTATACTAATACAGATGGTGGTATATGTGTCGTAGTGTAGTGTTTAAGTACTGGAGATAAACCTGGAAATATGTATTCAGTCATCAAAGCTATACTACCTCTTTGGTGTAAATGTTTGTGTGTGAAAATATCTCGACCAAAAACCATTAGATATAACATTACCCTCACTCACCTATCCTCTTCATGCCGGTCGGCATTTAAGGCCCAGATACATTTTTTCCATTTGACACGGTCTTTAGCTGGTGTCCTTGCTGTAGCCCAGCTGTTCCATCCAAGTGTTGTTCTTTCTGTCTCAACAGTCCGTCTCCAGGTGGTTTTGGGACGTCCTACCTTCTCTGTTCCCTCTGGTTTCCATGTCAGTGCCACTGAACATATGCTGTTGGTGTCCATTCTTAGTACATGGCCAATCCATCTCCAACAACGTTCCATAATATCATCACTAAGTTTCTTTGTTCCAGCTCTGATGTGAAGGTTTTCATTTGATATGGTGTTGGGCCATCTTATTTTCAAAATTTGTCTCAGACATCTAGTTTGGAAGGTGTTCATTTTTTTTTTTTAATCTTCTGTTGTTTTCCAGGTTTCACATCCATACAGTAGAACTGATATAACCAGGCTGTTAAACAGCCTGACCTTTGTTATGAATGACAGTATTGATGATCGCCATATTTTTCTTAACCTGCTGAATTGACCTTTCGCTTTCTTGAACCTGTTGTCTATACCATTGTCACAGCCACCTTTTGTTGTTACTATTCCTCCTAGGTAAGTAAAGGTATCAACATCTTCTAGGTCTTTTTCATTCAACTTCACTGGGTTGTTATTAGTGGTGTTCATCCGCATTACTTTAGTCTTGGAAGTATTTACCTTCAATCCTATCTTGCTGGCATTTTCTTGAAGTTTGTTTGTTTTCAGCTGTATATGTTGGAATTTGGAAGATAGTAGTGCAAGATCATCTGCAAAATCAAGTCTTCTAATTTGGTGGTAAATTTCCATCTTATTCCTGTTTCATGTTCTTTTGTTGTTTGCTTCATGACATAGTCAATGGCTAACAGAAATAAGAAGCCAGACATCGTGCAGCCTTGCTTTACTCCTGTTTTAACTTTTAACCAATCAGATTGTATCCCTTCGTCTATGACTGAACATTCGAATGTGTCATAACAGAGTTTTGTTACTGTGATGAGTTTGTCTGGGATGTGATATGCTTTCATGATGGACCATAAGCTTTCCCTGTGGATGGAATCAAACGCCTTCTTGAAGTCTACAAAATGTATGTTTAAAGGAGCATTCCATTCAGAACATTGTTCAATTAGATATAACATTACAATTGTGTAACAGGAGAAGAGAAATGCACAGACGGACCAGAATTCGAACCTTGGATCCTCCAAACTCTAGACAGACGCTCTAACCGATTGAGTTACCTGGATGCCGGCAATTAACCCAGTTACAACACATTTGCATTACGAGGAAAACCTCATGGACACAGTAAAAAATACTCCAACAACATTGTCAATTAAATGTTAGAAAACATTACTTTTACAAAAAGAATAATTGATATCTGGAATAGTCTCCCACAAGATGTTATTTCATCTCATAAAGAATTTGACTTATACTTTAAGGAGTAACTAACATTTTAATGATAATGATACGTTTATTACTTAGTTCTTTTCATATAATGTTAAGAGATTCCCATGTGATTGATTCAGAACTTCCTAGAGTGATTCCTTTTGAAGACACAGTTTCCTCAGGTAGATTTTCCAGACCTCGATCACTCGGTTACTAAAGACATTCTTGCTAGTGTTAATAATAATAATAATAATTGGAGGTTCTTATATACCGCTTTATCACAACCTAGTTCGTAGGTCGTCTCAAAGCGGTTCACAAATTATTATCCGTGGTTATAGGGCCTTTGCAACTAGCCAGTACATTTCTCAACTCCCTGGGGAGCATACAGCCGGTGCTGCCATTTCTGCGCTAACAGCTAGCATTCAACAATTCTAGCACTGCCTAACCACGTACTCATTTACAGCTGAGTAGACTGGAACAAGCGGAGTAAAGAATCTTGCACATTGCCGTGCCGTGGCGCGAACCCGCAACCCTTCAGTCACGAGCCCGGCGTCCTACCACTTGACCACCGTGCCTCCTAAACACATATGCTGTTAAGCCTGAAAGGTTTCTTGAATATTTTTTAGAGTGACCTCTAGTGATACTGAGTGGTGTAGGCTGAAACATTAGTCTGTAGTCTAACTGGTCGATCCCGTTCAATATTTTGTACAGCTCAACCACATCTGCCCTCTCACGCCTGTATTCCAGAGATGGTAGACCTAATGTTCTTAGGCGTTCATGGTAGGGCATAGCCTGTATTTCTGTTACCCTTTTAGTGGCTACTTGTTGGACATTTTCGATAGCTATTTTGTCCTTGTTTGGAGACGGTGACCACACTTGCGTAGTGTATACCAGATGTGGACGGATTAGGCACTTAAGTACAAGGTTGTAAAAAGAGCTATATCCATAAAAATGAAAGTTCTAAACAGAATACCTGACATTTGGTAAGCTTCCGACACTGCTGTTTTGACTTGGGTTGAGTTCTTTAGGGTGTTGTCAAAGTGAACTCTAAGGTCCTTTGCTGTGGCCACTTTCTCTATTTCAGTTGTTTGTCCATCTTGTGAAAATAGTATTTTGATGAGTTGGGGTTATTACCAATCACCATATGTTCGCACCTCTTGGGTGTTTAGCTGTGATATCTAATAAGGTAACAAATCCTAGTGACACTACACTGTGAGCTAACAAATAAACAAAATTAATTATGTCCAGTAATAGGCCTGCAAACATCATGAAGTTAAAAGTTACAATTAGTTGCCGATATAAAAACAAATATACCGCGTATAATGGCAAAGAAAAAAACACCACACATGCGATAATATAAATAATATTTAGTGGTTTTATCAGATGTGAGGAGTTACATGAGCGAAGCCTAGCAATTGTATTGATTAATTATCGAATATGATACACACATATCCTATCCTGTGCTATCTGAACCGTCACTGGATTTTTTTTTTTTTCATTTTTTATTATTTTTCTTCCATTTTTAAAGGATCCCATTGGAAATAAGTCACTTTGTGGCTTTATGGGTAATCCTAGGTAAATGGCAATCACCACCACTCCTATTATGCGATCTATTTTTTAGTTATAAATACCTTCATTTACTAAAATAGTCTGTCTCATTTTGTCTCATTTTATAGTAATATCTGCCTTTTTTTTTTTACAGTGTATGAGACTTTTTTAGATTTTTGTACTCTGATATATGTCAATGATTGAATTAAAAAACCTTTTATTAGGTCAGATCTATTATTATTCTCAGTCTTAATACAAAATCCTCTTTTTTATTTACAAGTTGCAATGTGATTTTAATTATATATGTTATTGTAAATTGTGATATTTTGTAATAACATGCCTATTTTACCTGAATAAATATTATTATTATTATTGTTAGAAACTAGAAAGGAGTAAATGCCGAAAGGCAGAAAACCAACCATATGCAAACGAGCCCACTCTACCACGCTTTCTCACGTGTGTCATCCGATTTTTCAAGAGGGTAATATTCTTCCGTCTGCCTCAATGGTGAATACATGTTTATGTTGTGTTCATAGTCAGGAAGTTGTCGTTTGATCAGCGGGCATCAATTCGCCAGTTTGTATAAAAACAACATGGATACATGTAAACAGGAAGTATTCGTAACAAAGGGACGTCACTCTAAATAGGTAGGAATAGCTTGTCATACTGTTCTCCGATTCCGACCCGAGCTCGTACCGAGTCCGACTTATGATCTAGAGTCAAATTGTTAATTGGAAATAGATACGAAATAATGCAGCACATCAATGGTGGATTTTATTTTATACGTTCTCTTTTCTTAAAAGACGAGCCAGTTTAAGAGACTTAAACGTAAAGGCCTATTCTTCACGAGACATTTAAGATTATTTGTCATGGTTGGGGACAGGTCGTGCTGAGGGAAGTTTTCGAGTTTTACCACTTTCCTCTTAACTGCTGAACCAAAGGTAGGACAACGTGTTGTTTGTTTCGGTTTTATTTTTTTCTTTATTTTCGAATCATAATGACTACTGATTTGTTGATCATATATCATAGATCAATTGCATTAAAAGAAATCTTATTTTTGGTGCGACCTTTTAGGTGGAAATGTGTAAATTAGTCTACTTTCATTTTATCAGTATACTGTACTGTGCAGTAGTCTGCCTCGGATCTCAGGAAATATGACTTGCGTTGGCAACATTTGTTAATGCTCGACAGCCATCCTATTTGTAAAGTTTGATATATAACAAAACACGCTAGGGGGGCTGTCACCCCCTATTTGTTGAAAAAAACCCGATATTAAATAGGTCAAAAGGTCATTAGGTGCATTTTAACCGTTTTATGGAAATATTCGAACATTGTTCCCATTTATCAGTTTCAAACCTCACAAAAAATATTGTTAACACCAACACTTTGTTTTGCTGGAATGATAACATGCAAAAGAGGTGACATAAAACTTTTATTTCAACAAAAAAGTAAAGTTATTGGTTATTGTAGCACTGAATTGCGCAATAGAAGGGACTGATCCGAACACAAGTGAATACATCAAATAATTAAATGTAAAGGTTCGACCTAAAACACCTCTATCCACATCTATATAACACATACTTCAACATATACAACCAAAGATCCTCATTGATGCGATATTTGTTTTATATATGTACGGCTAATCACAAAAAATAATATCAGCTAACTATGGAATTCCCCAATATTTAGTCATCTTCATTCCCAACAGGATTGGCACATCCTGATGCCTCCCATTTACATTCAAACATGCAAATCTGACCAGACTTATAACATTTGCATCTTGATGTGCTGCATTTTGTAGTGCATCCACAATGAGTGCAACCAACTGCAAACAGGAGACAGGTACCGAGGGTTTGCTCATCCAAACTGGTTTCAGTACACACGACTCTATAACCCAACAGCCTATATTTGTTGGATTCTCTGGCTCGAAATCTGCATCAGCTGCTTTTATCCAGATCATTGCTTGATAAGCTGCTCTCTTAACGTGTAACGCGAATGCATATTTAGTTGGCGGAAGCAGCTCTAAAGACTTCCTGGCTTTTAAGAATAGTCGGTATCGGCAGATATCTACTTGATTTCGCGTTGACATCACCTGTGCAGCCTCCCCCAGTTACTTGTGTTGACCCAGGTGGCAATGTTTCAGCACGCTGTAATAGCTCATTGGAAAGAAATCCTGCAAGATCGGATTTGTTTTTATCCAGGGTAATGAACTGCTCCCATACCTGAGGAAGGGGTACTTCTGGGCCGGTAATAAGTTTTCGTATAGGGCATCGCTTTCCAGACCGCTTGCTTCGAGTTGCATTCTTGATGGAGTTGCCACCATAATACCGGTCAAATGTTACATCAACGCGCGTAGTCTTGTCATTGAAATGTTTGAATACTGACTGCAAAAACACTTGTGCATAGTCACCAAATGTTTGACACTTTGGGGGTTTACTAAGTGCTTGGACTAACGCATGCCCATCAATTACCACGCAGGTTGCTTTGTCGGAGGGAGGTAGTTCCTGTGGTGTTTCAATACCTAAATCCGCTGTCAAAACATTGAGAATTTGCGACTTTGTTGTGGTATTCATGTTTCCACTCGCGTTGGCCAAAGAGAGAGGAACAGGCGCCAGTTCATGTTGTAACACTTCAGCAGTTTAGACAGATCGTCCCGAGTTTGCGGCATTGAAAAGCCGCTGTAGCAACTTCCTGTCGGCCCTTATTAGCTTCGTCATTTTCTGCCTATCCTGTGTAGTTTTTTTGTACAAATCAGAGAATGTCTTTGATTTGACCCTTTTAATTGGTGCGAAAAATTCCACCGTTTTCTCCTTCAGTCGGTCAACTGCAAATTCTTCAACTAATTGTCCACCCTTCTTTTCACAAGTCAACAGATCGGAAGTGATTTCGTCTGAAGCAATGTCTTTTGTTGCTACAGATACCAGTTTTGTTTCATCATTAGATTCGTTTGGTGTTCGGGAGTTTGTTGTTAGACCAAAGACATCAAGAGAAGCAATAACTTTCATTTGCTCTTTAACAAGATTTTCTTCAACGTTGATACGCGTAGGTTGAAGCTTTAGCTTATTGTCATTCGTCTCTTCTTCATCATCGAGTAGTCCAAAGAAATATTATATAGAATGAATCGAAAGACATACCTGTTCATGGCAAATACCCATATAAATCGCATGTAAACATGCCCTGCACTTTTGGTAAATATAATGGTAAATGGCTAATTTGGATGTAAGGGAGGTAACTGTCGATAAATACGTCTCTAGCTCACACTAAGTGTGCTTGATTTATATCTTATATATAAATAATAATTTTGTTTTGAGATGTGCTATGTTTCTTTATAGATCGAGTAATGTAAAAACACACAGTAAAAGGGTTCAGATTGAAAAATCAACCCTATGTGGTTATTATAGCAAAAATAAAGAACAAATGCACCTGTTGACCTTTGACCTCATTTTTTAGCCTTATTTCAGCATTTAAAAGGCGACAGTCAGTCTGAATGATACACCTAGATATCATACAAGTCATTGGTGGTAAAAGTTTTGCATTAACAAATTTTGCCAACAGAACCATTTTCCAGGCCTCTTTTCTGAGATCCGAGGCAGACTACAGCAGTACAATTGGTATTTCCAATGCTGTGTACTAATACAGTACACATTGTGCTGTTGATTTTGACCATAATAAACATACCAGAATGTGTTTTGTATGATTCCCTTTACACATGAAAATAATGCCAACATACCTGTAATGATGAAATCAAATACAGTAACATGCTTCACGTTATGGCTACTGTGCAATTTAGTGTAATATAAACGTCTTTATCAGTTGAACAATCACATTTTATGAAACTAATGCATTGTTATAAGATGTATTTACGCATAAAATTTGACTTTAGATGTAAACACATTATTGCATGATGAAAATAGTAATTTTATATAGTTATTTTGATATTTTATCATATCTCAGGGGAGATAACTTGTTCCATATTTTTACTTATAATCTCATAAGGTGTAAAACATAACATATTTCAAATTTTCAAAAAAACACCAAGTTAAGTATCTTGAAACTAATGCACAATTTCAAACAATTATGATAAAGTAAGTGGTACCGTTTAGGCATTTATCATTTTGCCTTCCAGTGTGAATTCATGAGATCATTATAAAACCTGTCACATATCTGTACAATGATTGGTATAGCATGTTACATGAACATGTACTTATAAAAAATGCAATTTTGTTTCTCTGAATTTTATCTGATCATATGATAATACACATATGTTTTAGCTATGAGATGGTTACTGTTTGAAGAAGGCCTTTATAAATGGGATCTGTTCTAAATGGTCTTTGGAATACAACCCAGTTAGATCAATACCAGTGTCAGGAAAGGAAGGTACACTCTGGAGGAATTAAAATATTAGCTGACCACCAGTTAGGGTCATCTGTAGATGGTGACCAGTTTCTAAATTTAGCTGGAAGTGGTAGTAATTTTACTGGCATTGTCTCTGATGATAATAATCACACATGTTCAACTGAAAGATATGATTTCAATATGACAGACAGCTGTCAAACTATCCCACAGACTATCTGCGGAACAGACAATAAAAATGGAGATGAAAGCAAAACTGATACAATGACAACACCAATGTGCGAAGATGAGAACAGACTAGGCGGCCCTGTATTTGATCCACCTCTCTATCAACAGAGATACAGTTTTGTGGCAGACAAACTCAACTCTCTAAATGTACAAAGCGTAAGTGAAACAGATACCTTTTTTGTCCATTGCCTGTATTATGAAACCATATTTTTAAGCTTATAATAATCACACATGTTGGCCAGGATGGAAGCCTTCAAGTAGTCTTAATGTAGGAGGGAACTAGAATACCCAGAGGAAACCCACAATGTCAGGAAGGTGACCCAATACCTTCACATTCAATCTAGGATTAAAACCTTGGATGTCTTGTTGAATATCATCCTTTCAGGATTGAATTTAAAGATGTATGTAACTTTACTATAAATAATTGCACCTCCATTTAAAAAGAGTTCCACACAAATAAAAAAACACGTTAATTTGAAAGTAATATTCATAAATTCATGACATCAGTAGCTCTTGGCAGTGTGTTATCAAAGTTATTATAGGATAGTTTGAATGTTTCACTTCTTGAAGCTGGCATCTTAATTTTGTTTCTTTTATTGATAAAAATGCTATTATTCACTAGTTTGTTCCAGCTTTTGAGTAAAGTTGTGTTTTCTTTGTCCAGGTTGTAGATTTTGGATGCGCAGAATGTCAACTCTCCAGATTTTTGGCTGACATTCCATCTGTCCAGCGGATTGCTATGGTAGACATGGACAGACCGTTGCTTCAAGCACATAAGTACAACATAAAACCAGCCGTTTACCACTTCTTAGACAAACGAAAACATCCACTGACCATACAGATATACCACGGTGATGCTACAGTATTGGACACGAGGATTATGGGATACGATGCTGTCAGCATGGTAGAGTTGTAAGTCACTTTAGCTCAAACTTTGTAATTACAATATCAGTGATCTTGTAAACCTCATTTGTAAGCCAATATATGTCAATCCAATAGCAAAACAAATGAGAATTTATTTTTTGCAAGAGATTAATTTTCATGTTAAATCATGACAAGTGTCAGTTACAAATTTAAATATACTGGAATGGATCATTTCTTTCTGGGGAAAGGATTGATTCTGTAAAGGAACTGATTGTGTTTTACGCTAAAATGATTTTCTTTTTCAGTGTAGAACATTTATATCCAATTGATCTTCAAAAGGTTTGTGATATGGTCTTCCATGAACTCCAACCTCGGATTATCATAGTGACAACTCCCAACTTTGAATTCAACCAGTTATTCCCAGATGATGGACGGACATTCAGACATTATGACCACAAATTTGAATGGACCAGAAAGGAGTTTCAGAGTTGGTGAGTAAGAGCTCTGTACCTGTTGGACCCTCTGTTGAACCTGTGCTTTACTTCTGTGTCTTGTTTTGGGGGACATTGCCAATTTATATCTACTGAACCTTGATGTTTTCTGTCCTATTCTTTAAAACATAATTTCTACATCATTCCTTTCTTTGTGATCTAACCATTTACCAATTTCAAGTATGAAATTTACAGCACAAGTGTTGCTCGATCATAATTTTAAACACTAAGAGGTGTGGTATCTAGTATAGTTAGGTCAGGTAAGTGCTTAGTTTTGAATAAAAGTGAGTCTGTGCCCTGATGAGACATCCACACTTCTTCAATGCTCAGAGAAATAAATCAGAGAATTTAGAAAGCAATGATTTTAAGTTACAGTTTAGTTGTTTCTACCATCAAAATATATAACATGTTAGCATGGCCACACTATCATAAGTAACCATACATATATTGTATTGTATCTAGGGGTAACCAACAAGCTGGTAGCCATGGTTACACTGTCCAGTACACAGGCATAGGGAACCCTCCCCCAGAGAGTAATCACCTGGGCTATTGCTCACAAGCTGCCATTTTTGAAAGGATTAAAGTCGAAAACAGAGTTCAGCAAAATGAAAAGTGTGCTCAGAGTTATACACAGGTAAGAATGGGTTTGGCACTATTTACCTTTTTGTGTGTTTTAAATATCACTTCACCATCGGTATCCAAAGTATCAGACAGATTATTTTATTCCACCCTTTTGTATTTATTTCTGCTTATGCATTCACAAAGACCCGAAAAAAGACAGAACAAATTATATTTACATTTGCTAACAACTTTTGCGTGCTTTGAGGCAAAGGAACTGGTATAAAGCTTGGATTCCCTTCTGAACAACATCTTGGAAGGACAGTGCTAAGTCTAAAAAAGGTGTGTTTATTGAACCTGTATTGAAATAGATAAAAATAAATAATGTGAATAAAAGATGAGACAACAGCAGTATGGCATATAATTTACTGGTTCCCATTTGCTAGATTGCAGAAGCGGTTTATCCTTACAAAAATGAAGAAGATACTATGTCTCCTAGTGAAGCTTTATCCATGGAAGCACGATACAATATAAGAGAGCTCATCAAGGGAGATAACTACCTAGAACTGGAACCGGACAAGGTTGTCATACGTTTCAGTGAACTGCTGAGATACAGAAATCTGGCCAAGATGTGCAAAAACAGCATCACTATTCTCAGGTATTTTAAATATTCATGCTCCTAAGAATAAGAGGTCATGGTTTCCAAGATCTTTTTAAACTATCAATCCCTCCGCATTAAAGCGATTTTGGTCTCTGTGGAGTATAACATATAGATAGATCATGGTATTGTCGCCTTCCACATCACAACTTTTAAATACATTTATTCATATGCATTCTATAATGTTTTAGTAGGCAGTTCCTCTAATACACTAAATATATTATTGAAAATTGTAGGTACATGGTTATTTAACTTTGGAAGTGGAAAGAATATTGGTTAATAAGGGGAGACAAATGTTTTTGTTCACAAATAAAATCTATTGTTTGGATTGGTTCTGCTTTTTGAGGAAACAAGTTGACCAAGAAGATAGTGAAGAGATAGAATCACTCAAAATATAGAAGTTTTACATCAAACTGAAAATAAATGGTTTTCATTTCAGTTACGCGTTTCAGTTAGTGAAATGTAATTTGTGTCATGATGATATTCATTGTAGCTATTGAATATATTTCTTAAATCACTTATCCAAAGGCTTTATTTGATGTATGAATCATTTTATAGATCATCAGAATTGCAGTTGTGATTACATGTCTATGAACTTAGTAAACATGGCTTGTACTTAAAATTCTACAAAATGATGCCACTATGACCAATCCTGTCATAACACCATACTTTTGGTGGACGTTTGAGTTTTACAAATTCATTCATTGTCTTACATATTTTACTTCAGGGACCATTTTTTGGATCAGAATTTCTCCCTGACAGACGATCAGACAGGAATTATTGTGTGTCTAACAGACTACTTTGAAACAGAGAAGTTCGGTGTTGACCTCTATGATGAGAATGAGGATTGGGATTTAGATGAGGGAGATGGGAGTAATGAAGTTAAGGAAGTGATGTCATCAAAAAGTGACAATGTCAGTGAAAACAAGCTTCATGAGGAATTCTGGGATTGATTTATAATAGCAGTATTGAAACTGTACTATAAACTTGGAATCCAAGGTATTTATATGAAATTGTTTCATTTGTACCACATCAGACCTTGTACATGTATTTGTGATACAAGATCAGTATAAGTGATACTAGAAAATGCCTAGTTTTGTTAATGTCACCAAAGACAATGCAACTCTTGTGCTATATTACACAGCTGCATATGAGTGGAGATTTTTTAGAACAGTTTATCAGTTGTTGTTGTTTTTGTAGAAACTTATTATTTTGTTTATAAAATAAACGATCTTCTGTTTTGAAAGGAAATATAGAAACAGATGTTATTCTGTGTATTCCTCTCGGGTAAGTATTTTAGCTCACCTGGCCAAAACGGCCATTGTCCGTCCTACTGTCTATCTGTGGTTAATTTTTCATTGAATGTACAGAATTACTGAAGGGTGTTTTAATCATATTTGACATGGAACATCTTTTGGTTTAGGGGATTTAATTCTGTATAAATGAACGATATGGCCCTCTTTGAGGCAGATGGGCTGGGCTTGAAGCAGAAAATAGGAAATCTTTCAAAGACTACACTTTAAGTATAAATGAAAGTCTGTTCTCTCATTTCTCTCAGAGCCTTAAGCAAATGTTATTATTGTAATTGCTTTTTGTCTATAAAAAATCCAAAATGAAAACCATTATCTCATAATGTTGGAAAAAGTTTCAACATTTTTTCCCGCTCAGAAAAAAACTGAAAAGGTAAACAGTAGACCTGCAGGTCTCTTGTCAGTGTAACAGGCAGGTCTCTTGTCAGTGTGACAGACTATCTGTTTTGTGGTTTTACATGTTGTCTTTGTTGTTAAGGATCTTTTCTTAAAACTGACATAATTATGTTCATCAATAAAATTGTTTTTGACTTGGTAATTTGGTTGTTGTGATGTTTTCTTATGAACATAAAGGAAAAATGATAAAAAACAACAACTTGTAAAACAATGATATGCAAAGTTCCACACAGTATATATACAAAAAGTGAAGTATAAACTTTGAAAATAGTACTATCATTTTAGTTTTCTTATTATCTAATTATCTGAACAAAAATTTGGGCTTTAGCACAAAAGGTGAGTTTATGAATACCAGCCCTGCCAGACTCTTGGTTGATTTTCATTAAAAAGTTCAAGCATTCTTTCCTTTGTGTGGAAGCTTTTCAAGTGATAATGCCATGAGATTACAATTGCTCTAAACAGAACTTCATACCTGTAATTTCCCTTACGTTGAACAGACTAAGTACCTGTATTGTATGTAACCTTAGGTTGAACAGTAGGACTAACTACCGGTATTGTATGTAACCTTAGGTTTTACAGTAGGACTAACTATCTGTATTGTATGTAACCTTAGGTATAACAGTAGGACTTACGTTTAACAGTAGGACTAACTACCTATATTGTATGTAGTATGTAACCCTAGGTTTAGCAGTAGGCTTAACTACATGTATTGTATGTAACTTTAGGTTTAGCAGTGGGACTAGCTACCTGTATTGTATGCTTACTACCTGTATTGTATATAACCTTAGGTTTAGCAGTAGGAATAACTAACTGTATTGTATGTAACCTTAGGGGCTAAACCTTGAGGTTTAACAGTAGGGCTAACTATCTGTATTGTATGTTACCTTAGGTTTAGCAGTAGGACTAGCTACCTGTTTTGAATGTAACCTTAGGTTTAGCAGTAGGGCTAACTACCTGAATTGTATGTAACCTTATGTTTAGCAGTAGGACTAACTACCTGAATTGTATATAACCTTAGGTTTAGCAGTAGGACTAGCTACCTGTTTTGAATGTAACCTTAGGTTTAGCAGTAGGAATAACTAACTGTATTGTATGTAACCTTAGGTTGAACAGTAGGACTAACTACCGGTATTATATGTAACCTTAGGTTTTACGGTAGGACTAACTATCTGTATTGCATGTAACCTTAGGTTTAACAGTAAGGCTAACTACCTGTATTGTATGTACCCTTAGGTTTAACAGTAGGACTAACTTCCTGTATTGTATGTAACCTTAGGTTAAACAGTAGGACTAACTACCGGTATTGTATGTATCCTTAGGTTTTACAGTAGGACTAACTATCTGTATTGCATGTAACCTTAGGTTTAACAGTAAGGCTAACTACCTGCATTGTATGTAACCTTAGGTATAACAGTAGGACTTACGTTTAACAGTAGGACTAACTACATGAATTGTATGTAACCTTAGGTTTATCAGTAGGACTTACTACCTGTGCTGTATGTAACCTTAGGTTTAACAGTAGGACTTACTACCTTTATTGTATGTAACCTTAGGTATAACAGTAGGTCTAACTACCGGTATTGTATGTAACCTTAGGTTTAACAGTAGGAATAACTACCTGTATTGTATGTAACCCTAGGTTTAGCAGTAGGCTTAACTACATGTATTGTATGTAACTTTAGGTTTAGCAGTGGGACTAACTACCTGTATTGTATGTAACCTTACGTTTAACAGTAGGACTAACTACCTGTATTGTATGTAACCCTAGGTTTAACAGCAGGCTTAATTACCTGTATTGTATATGTAACCTTGAGGTTGAACAGTAGGGCTAACTACCTTTATTGTATGTAACCTTAGGTTTAACAGTTGGGCTAACTACCTGTGCTGTATGTAACCTTAGGTTGAACAGTAGGACTTACTACCTGTATTGTATGTAACCTTAGGTTTAACAGTAGGACTTACTACCTGCATTGTATGTAACCTTAGGTTTAACAGTAGGACTAACTACATGTATTGTATGTAACCTTAGGTATAACAGTAGGACTAACTACCTGTATTGTATGTAACCCTAGGTTTAACAGCAGGCTTAATTACCTGTATTGTATATGTAACCTTGAGGTTTAACAGTAGGGCTAACTATCTGTATTGTATGTAACATTAGGTTTAACAGTAGGACTTACTACCTGCATTGTATGTAACCTTAGGTTTAACAGTAGGACTAACTACCTGTATTGTATGTAACCTTGGACTTAGCAGTAGGACTAGCTACCTGTATTGTATGTAACCGTAGATTTAACAGAAGGACTTACTACCTGTATTGTATGTAACCGTAGATTTAACAGTAGGACTTACTACCTGTGCTGTATGTAACCGTAGATTTAACAGTAGGACTAACTACCTGTATTGTTAGCTCACCTGGTCCAAAGGACCAAGGTGAGCTTATGCCATACCGTGGCATCCGTCGTCCGTCCGTCCGTCGACCGTCATCCGTCCGTCAACAATTTCTTTAAACGACTTCTTCTTAACCACTGATTGGAATTTAACTAAATTTGACTGGAAGCATCCCTAAGTGGTGGGGATTCAAAATTGTACAAATGGTGTGGCTGACCCCCCAGGGGGCTGAGGGGCGGGGCCAAAAGGGGGCAATTTGGCTAAACTGCTTTAAGCGACTTCCTCTCTGGAACCAAGCGATGGATATCAACTATATTAGACTGGAAGCATCCCTAGGTGGTGGAGATTCAAAATTGTACAAATGGTTGGGCTGACCCCCCAGGGGGCTGAAAGGCGGGGCCAAAAAGGGTAATTTGGCTATATTACTACAAACGACTTCTTCTGTAGAACTATTTACTGGATATCGATCATATTTAATCAAAAGTATTAATGGGATGCAGGGATTCAAAATTGTACAAATTGTGGGGATGACTCCCCAGGGGGCTGAGGGGCGGGACCAAAAAGGGTTATTTGGCTATATTGCCTTAAGTGACTTCTTCTCTGGAACTAAGTGATGGATATCAACCATATTAGACTGGAAGCATCCCTAGGTGGTGGGGATTCAAAATTGTACAAATGGTGTGGCTGACCCCCCAGGGGGCTGAGGGGCGGGGCCAAAAAGGGGTAATTTGGCTATATTTCTACAAACGACTTCTTCTGTAGAACTATGCACTGGATATCAATCATATTAAATCAAAAGTATTCATAGGATGCAGGGATTCAAAATTGTACAAATGGTGGGGCTGACCCCCAGAGGGCTGAGGGCGGGGCCAAAAGGGGGCAATTTGGCTAAACTGCTTTAAGCGACTTCCTCTCTGGAACCAAGCGATGGATATCAACTATATTAGACTGGAAGCATCCCTAGGTGGTGGGGATTCAAAATTGTACAAATGGTGGGGCTGACCTCCCAGGGGGCTGAGGGGCGGGGCCAAAAATGGGTAATTTGGCTATATTTCTACAAACGACTTCTTCTGTAGAACTATGCACTGGATATCAATCATATTAAATCAAAAGTATTCATAGGATGCAGGGACTCAAAATTGTACAAATGGTGGGGCTGACCCCCCCCCCCCCCCCCCCCCCCCCCAGGGGGCTGAGGGGCGGGGCCAAAAAGGGGTAATTTGGCTATATTTCTACAAACGACTTCTTCTGGAGAACTATGCACTGGATATCAATCATATTAAATCAAAAGTATTCATAGACCTTAGGTTTAACAGTAGGACTAACTATCTGTATTGTATGTAACCTTAGGTTTTACAGTAAGTCTAACTGCCTGTATTGTATGTTACCTTAGGTATAACAGTAGGAGTAACTACCTGTATTGTATGTAACCTAAGGGATAACAGTAGGACTAACTATCTGTATTGTATGTAACCTTAGGTATAACAGGAGGACTAACTACATCTATTGTATGTAACCTTAGGTTTAACAGTAAGGCTAACTACCTGCATTGTATGTAACCTTAGGTATAACAGGAGGACTAACTACATCTATTGTATGTAACCTTAGGTTTAACAGTTGGACTAACTACCTGTATTGTATGTAAGCTTAGGTTTAGCAGTAGGACTAACTACCTGTATTGTATGTTACCTTTGGTATAACAGTAGGAATAACTACCTGTACTGTATCTAACCTTAGGTTTAACAGTAGGACTAACTACCTGTATTGTATGTAAGCTTAGGTTTAGCAGTAGGACTAACTATCTGTACTGTATGTTACCTTAGGTTTAACAGTAGGACTAACTATCTGTACTGTATGTTACCTTAGGTTTAACAGTAAGGCTAACTACCTGCATTGGGCTAAACTGCTTTAAGCGACTTCCTCTCTCGAACCAAGCGATGGATATCAACTATATTAGACTGGAAGCATCCCTAGGTGGTGGGGATTCAAAATTGTACAAATGGTGTGGCTGACCCCCCAGGGGGCTGAGGGGCGGGGCCAAAAAGGGGTAATTTGGCTATATTTCTACAAACGACTTCTTCTGTAGAACTATGCACTGGATATCAATCTTATTAAATCAAAAGTATTCATAGGATGTAGGGATTCAAAATTGTACAAATGGTGGGGCTGACCTCCCAGGGGGCTGAGGGGCGGGGCCAAAAATGGGTAATTTGGCTATATTTCTACAAACGACTTCTTCTGTAGAACTATGCACTGGATATCAATCTTATTAAATCAAAAGTATTCATAGGATGCAGGGACTCAAAATTGTACAAATGGTGGGGCTGACCCCCCCCCCCCCCCCCCCCCCCCCAGGGGGCTGAGGGGCGGGGCCAAAAATGGGTAATTTGGCTATATTTCTACAAACGACTTTTTCTGTAGAACTATGCACTGGATATCAATCATATTAAATCAAAAGTATTCATAGGATGCAGGGACTCAAAATTGTACAAATGGTGGGGCTGACCCCCCCCCCCCCCCCCCCCCCCCCAGGGGGCTGAGGGGCGGGGCCAAAAAGGGGTAATTTGGCTATATTTCTACAAACGACTTTTTCTGTAGAACTATGCACTGGATATCAATCATATTAAATCAAAAGTATTCATAGACCTTAGGTTTAACAGTAGGACTAACTATCTGTACTGTATGTTACCTTAGGTTTAACAGTAGGGCTAACGACCTACCTGTATTGTATGTAACCTTAGGT